AGTTTGCGTACGACGCGTCGCTTATCGGACTATAAAACGCGCTGCGCTGGGCAGATCTTCCTCTCCTAAGACTCGTTGAAGGAATCACTAGAGGATTCAACAGAAATCAGTCAATAGGTACCATATTCCTGGATGTCGCCAAGGCATTCGACAGAGTCTGGCACGCTGGGCTGATTTTCAAGATGAAAGAACAAGGGTACACAGCAGGAATGACAGGGTTGCTCAGATCGTACCTCTGCGAAAGGCAGTTCTGGATCAAGATGGGACATATCCTATCAAGACCTGGAATTCCAGAAGCGGGAGTCCCCCAAGGAGCAGTACTGTCACCACTATTGTATACCATTTACACAGCAGATATCCCGAAAACGCAACACACTACCATGTCCCTCTATGCGGACGACACAGCGATATCAGCAACAAGCAGACAGCCAGGACTTATATCAAGGTATCTACAGGATGCAGCGGAAGACATAGAAGAATGGTGCATAAGATGGAAAATCAAGATCAACGCAGAGAAGACACATGCTGTTCTGTTTAAGAAGAGACATCACCCACCAGTGATTGGTACTGTTTCAATCGCTTTTCCGAATTGAATATTTTATTATAATAATTAATTTTCTTTTCTAGTGCATATAAATAAAATATTAATGAATGAGATGAGAAGTTGGTTTATTGAATTAACTGGGACCAGAGTCGGGTTAGTGGATTTATTTTACTTTAAACTTATCACAGGGTGGTCTTCGATATTATTTTATTGCCGTATTAGTAATTTATCTTTTCATTTAATTTTTTTATTATTAATAAATTTTCTTTTGGAATCTCAAGGGCCATGATCGCATTCTATTTTATTAAATAACATCTAGATCTACCGAATAGCCTATATGTGCTGTTCCATAAGGATATTCCCAGTTGTTTAGGTGTTAACCGTGGAAACCCGATCAAATATTTCTTTTTATTAATAAATTCTATTTTGAAATCTCAAGGGCCGTGATCGCAAATATTCTATTTTATCAAATAACATCTAGACCCGGTAGATAACCTATATGTGCCGCTCCATAAGGATATTACCAGTCGTTTAGATGTTAACCGCGGAAATCCGATCTTTATTTTGTTGATTTTGTTTATTAATTTTCTTTTGAGGTACTCAGCAATATTCGCAAATATTTTAGTACCTAAACATAACACCTAGATCCGGTAGGTGGCCTATATGTGCTGTTTCCATAAGAATACTACCCGTTTTTTAGGTGTTAGCTACGGAAACTTGCTCTAGTATTTCTTAAAGGGTGGGAGAAATTAAAATCATTGAACTAGATAATACCTGGTACCGATTAATTTTGTTTTGTAGTATTTAGTTGTAAATTCATTCTTTTCCCCCTCATTCAATTTACTACTAAGGAAACTCTACCGCAGTCCGAACTAGCAAGAAATTCCATTTTATTTTACTTTCGAAATTTAATAACGTCTGATTGAGCAGCGTCCTATCAAAGCTACCGTCCAAAACCGTTATCTTTTTGTTCAGGGTTATTAGGACCAAAAAAAGGGATGGGTTTTGAAATAAATAGTTAAAAAATAATATTGTTATAGTTTTCGTAAGCAATATATGTATTAATTTATAACAACTGGCTTATAATTATGTGTCGACCTTTCCCTTTTTCTCTTTCAGCTTCCGACAATTTTTTAACGTAACAATAACGATTAATGCCCGCTATTGTTACCCTCTTATGTGCACAGTCTGATATCAACGAGACCCCTGGAGTTTTCCGTCATCTCCACTAGAAGCTGACCGAGTTGTGGAGCAAACCACATTAATAAAACTGGCGCCCGAGTGCTTCCGATCCCTAGGCTGTCACTTGTAAGAGTTATATTTTCTTGGAGGTAAGAAAACGACTAACAAAATAATGAACCAGGCGAACATTGTCGTATTAAGAATATGCAAGTTTCTTGGTTGGCTATTGACTACGCTACAATTGTTTACAAGTGTCTAGAGCCAAATAGTCGAAGCATTGAAACAAAATTTTTTAGACTAAGATGGATCGACATGCGGTTTTTTGAATTCATTTCCAAACATTTTTTTGGAAAAAATGTCCCTATTTTTTATCTTATACAAATCGGAAATTGCATTGCTGGATGTAACGTTATAAATAACGTTTCAGTTTTATTTCCGCAATATTACCTACATTTAATAATTATACCCTCCTGGGAAAAATATTTCGTCATGCCGCTGGTGCAATTTATCTTTTTAAGGCAGCTTACTGAATATTCTCGTCCTTTCCGTGGTATGACTTTGAAATATCAACTTCTTTGTTTTCGTGAATGCTTGCTTGATGACAAAAGGTAATTATTTAATATATTTGATTATTTAGAACTGTTTCATCAGTGTGTACAGGTTCAACATTTCGTTTGTAGATTATTACATGAGTTCCACGAATTGTTTTGGGTTGATTAACGTTAAAATGCTCTTTCGTTTTTATACTGCATGCCATTAAAAGTGGACATTTTAGTTTTTTTTATCTAGATTTTTTGTTCTTTTCCATCTTTTAACAAGGTACCTGAATATTGTTGCGAATCTAATCAATCGCTGCAATTTTAATGATTATTCTATATTAAATGTATTTATTTTGTGCTGCAATTTTAATAATTGTCGTATATTAAAAATACTTATTTTGTACTTTCTTTTGTGTAACACATGTTAAGAGATGGAAAGTTTTTTATTAGTGACTGACACCGTGTTTTTTTTTGTCTTTATAAAAAGAGAAGAGGCCTATATAAAAAGAGGAGGAGAAGGTGGATACCAGCCAGCCTATAGTAAGAGGAAGTCTCCAGGGAAACGTATCTTCTCATCAACGGCCCAGTGAAGGCTATAACTCTTCGACCGTCAACCCAAGTCAGCTAAGTGCCAGCCAGTAATCCGAACATTTGTTTTGCCAAAGAAAATCGTTAAAAATCACTATCTTTTAATTTATTAAGATTTAAAGTAACCATTTGTTTGTTGTTTTGATATAACTGTTTCATTCAAAAAATTGTTAAGTGTTTGCTATTAAAATTAAAGTCACTATATTTTCATTTCACTCTTTGAAGTTATTCCTTACTTAACTAGCAAATTAATGGCATAATTTGTATTTATTAACGGTCTAAAACATGGTGTCTTTAACCTTTTTTAGAACACTTGTATTTTTAATTAAAGATGATGCCATTGGTTTGTTAGAAAATTCTAAGCTCGAACTCCATGATCCTGACATGAGTTAGTCTGAGGGTCTGATGAAATTTAAGTTACTATATTTCACATAAATTCAGTTATTAATTTAATTAGATTACAAAATGGCACCAACGTCAAATTTTAACGTTACATGCATTTTTTGAGACGGCTTTTGGAAGATTAAAGAACTTTGTAAATAAAAGTCAGAACTGGGCCAAATCGGGTTCTCGGAGTTTTTCGAGATCGCTGATGACAATTATGATATTCAAATTGACCCACAGCTGACCTGGAGCTCAGGAACATCGATGAACGTCATCTCTGCGGGACTTTCCGAAATTCACGAAGGGAAGGAGAGAAACTCGGCGCCCGGGGTTTTTTTGGGTCGCTGAATTTAAGTATGGCATCGGCGAACACCCCCTGGACACCTGGTGTATCGAAACCTAGACATGGACGTCATCCCCGAGAATTTTCCTGAGAAGATCGCCAAAAACAACCCCAAAATCAATATGGGGCGTTTTTTGAGGCGCTGAATTCAATTTTCACGTCGAAAAACCCCCTAAACACTTGGTGCACCGGAACCTGGACGCAGACCTCATATCCGCGAGTTTTCCTCACACAAACGAAAAAGATGAAACCAAAATCGTTATGAGGGTTTTTTTGGGGCACTGAATCCGAATTTCACGTCGAAAATGACCCTCCCAAACCTGGTGCACCAGAACCTCAGGCTGAACGTCGTCTCCGAGGGTTTTCCAGAGACAATCGCAAAAGACCAACCAAAAATCGTTTCATAATTTCAAACATTCATTGATGTGTAACTCTCGCCTGGGGTCCTCGAAAAAGTTGATCCAGTCCTGTAAAATTCTAAATGCCGGGTTTAAATAGAGCGAGGAAAATTACGAAAATAAAGGTGCTAGGAGGGTCGTTTTCGATGTGAAATTTGGATTAAGCGCCCCAAAAAAAACGCCCCTACAATGATTTTCTGGTTGTTTTTTGCGATCCAGTCAGGAAAATTCTCGGGGATGATGTCCATGTCCAGGTTCGGGCGCACCAGGTGTCCGGAAAATATTCGACGTTGCCACATTTGAATTCAGCGACCCAAAAAAACGCCCAGGCGCCGAGTTTCTCTCCTTCCCTGCGTGAATTTTGGGAGAGTCCGACGGAGATGACGTTCATCGGAGTTTCTGAGCTCCAGGTCGATTGTGAACATCATAATCGTGATCAGCGACCTCGAAAAACTCTGGGAACCCGATTTGGCCCAGTTCTAACTTTTATTTACAAAGTTCTTTATCTTCCAAAAGCCGTCTCAAAAAATGCATATTTGGCTCCAGCAATGTAATTTCCGATTTGTATAAGATAAAAAGTAGGGACATTTTTCCGGAAAATGTTAGAAAGCGAATTTAAAAAACCGCATTCTGATCCGTCTTAGTCTAAAAAAATTCCGAATTTTTTTGGCTTCAATGTTTTGACTAATGTTCTACTAAATTCCTTGTTTAAATCGAAACATATACGAGTATAATAAAACGTATTATAACCGTTTTATTTATAACTTATATTTATAAATAAACAAAGTGCCCTCGTCGCCTTTAGATGTTTAGCCCTCGGCAAGACCCTTTTTTATATTTATTGTAACTTTTTGGATATATTATTTATTTTTAATAAATTGTTAATTGTTGTTGCTCTTTTATTTTCCCAAGTCAGGTAGCACATAGTTACTATTTTAAGTAACTCCATCACGACCGAAAGGCCCGTAACACTAGCACAGGTGACAATAAATAAATAAAAAAATACAATTTAAAAAACATACCTTTCTGCATTGGCTTCATTGTTACTGGACAAAGGCGACATAGGTGGCGATGATGATACTGAGACATCATTCGCTAACTGCAAAGAAAATTATAATTATTATTCAATAATTAAATTTTACAATGTTAACTCACATCATTTAAAACGGTGCATTCATAACTCGGTTGATATTTTTCTTGTTCTGACGGCGGTCTTTTCATAATTTTATCTCGATCTTGTTTGTGTTTTCTATCGGCACCTTTAAGCTTAAACACCTTTATTTGACAGGCCGCAGCGTGCAACCTTTTATTCAAGTTCGGGTGCATATTTTCATTATTATTTTGATAAGTCTCGACTTGAATACGGAACGGGACTCCCTTTTCGCCGCCATGTTTCTTTGCAGTAAATTCCGTGCTAATACAATTGACCTGAAACGAAATTAAAATTATTTCAATTTCAAATTATGTTTATAATAAATTATCGGTATAAACTCGCAAGTAATAGTATTGCACTAAATGTATAATTAAACCAGATTGAATTAAAATTATGATGAAAATGCCTGAAACACCAAAATGAAATAAAGAAGAAACATATTTGAATAATTCAAAATCAATTGAGGGGCAATATAATTAACAACTGGGAAAAATCAGAATAAAATTTAAACTGAAAATACACTTTCAAAAAGAATAGAAGAGAAAAACCTAATATTGGATCCTTTATTTATTGGTTTTGAACTTGAAAGTGTTCGTTATAAAAAGAAATTTTGGTTAAAAATCACTTTAATTAGCAATGTATTAAAAAACAAACATTTTTCTTGAAATGTAAAGGGACGTCCTAAATTGCCTCGGAATTTTTAATAAAAAGTTTATCTATGAATTTATAAAATATTATACCTTAATATAAACTCCCACTTCTTTTGTTGGATCCCAGTTAAAATGAATAACGTTTACATTATTAGTTGGTTGTGTAATATCGAACGCGCCGTAAGAAAGGGGAACGTCAGCTTCGAGGATTCTATCACCTGGTCTAGCATTCTGCCAAGCTGTCATTTGTTCTTTTTCCATATATTGCAGTCGTCTTTCATGGAAGCAGATGCGAACGTAAGACTGCAATAAATTACATTTATTATTACTAGATGGAGTTACAATTTGTTTAAGCTGAATTAAATTTAATAAACCTTAGAAGATTCTTAAAATTTCTTATAAATTAGTGTAGAAGACAAGGTAGTAACTAGAATGAAAATATACAGTGAGTCTATATAAGTTGGAATCATATGGAAAACTTTTTAATTATTAATTTTAGAAAAAAAGTTATTGTTTATAAAAAGTTTTGCATGGCCTAAAATCTAAAATACAATCATCAGATATCAAATTTTTTCAGTCGTATACGAGGTTGGTCAAAAAATGCATTTATGATAAACGACTGATAAAATTTTCTATTAAGATGGTTATATTTTAGGTTTTTAGACCACGCACAATTTTTTATGATGAATAACTCTTTTTTTTTAAATTAATATTAAAAAAGTGTCCCATAAAGAAAATGAAATGAACAGGTGTCGAAAAGATTCCAAATGGTGTTTCTGTATAATGCCATGCTTATAATGTAAAAAAGATTTGAAAATAAGATTTTGACTCAAGAATATTACTTTTTTTTTTCTTTATGAAATATTTTAAGATGTTACTATACAGTAAAATATTTAGAATATTCGACATGGAACTCAAAAATTAAAATTCTTTTAAACGTCAATAAAAACCTGAAATAAAACAAATACTAAGTAGAACAAACTACATATCATCGGTTGAGAAGAATATTATCATTTTCTATTTGTTTTGAGTATTATGCATTTAAAAAGTCTTATTGCCCTACAACAAAGACAATTCTAAGCAATTTTTGTTTCCCATACTGTTTCTTAGGACATTGGATAGTATTTTTCAAACAAGTATTAAAAGTAATTTTAAAAAACCGACTTCAAAATCGTGCAGATGCCGTCACCACATCTTAACCAAATTATGGGACCACCCTTGAGGTACCCCCTTACTAACAAAAAAAAAAGAATCATAGAAATCGGAAAAGGTGGTAAAGAATTATCGCTAAATATACATAAAAAATGACGAGTTTGAGGATTTTTCTCATGGACCCTATTATTAGATTTTGACCAAATTTATATGAAACCACCCCTGAGGTACCCCCTTACTAACAAAAAAAGAATCATAGAAATTGGAAAAGATGGTAAAGATCTATCGCTAAACATACATAAACAATGAAGAGTTTGAGGATTTTTCTCATGGGCCCTATTATTAGATTTTGACCAAATTTATATGGGACCACCCCTAAGGTACCTCCTTACTAACAAATAAAAGAATCATAGAAATTGGACAAGGTGGTAAAGAATTACCGCTAAACATACATAAAAAATGAAGAGTTTGAGGATTTTCTCATGGACCTAATTATTAGATTTTGATCAAATTTATATGGGACCTCCCCTGAAGTACCCTCTTTCTAACAAAAAAAGAATCATTGAAATCGGACACCGTGTTAAAGAATTATCGCTGTACATACATAAAAAAAAATATTGCAACGAATTGAGAACCTCCTCCTTTTTTGAAGTCGGTTAAAAATGGACATATGATAGTTTAAAAAATAATGAGTCTCAAAATCACAATTTTTTTATTTTGTAATTTCTTAGGTTTGATGGATTTTGGGTAAGTATGTATAACTTCACACCAACTTTAAGGTTATTAACATTTTTAATTTAAGTATATAACTAATTAAAAAAGAAATTAACCCCTTTGATCCTAATATATTTCTGCTGCTAAAGTAAGTTGTAAATAGTAAACTTTTCTATGAACTATTAAAAAAATTTGAATACTTATAATGGTTTATTTTATAATACTTACTTTCAAAAATTTCCCCCTATAAAATGACAAATCTCCAAGTTTTTTCAACTTAATCTCATAACTTTGGCCTTGATTTAAGTACGTCAAAGTATCTTCATTTTGTTTGGTGGCTATGCTGGTCGCAGCTGCCAGTACATATTGGAATCTACTGTCTTCTATCAAATTGTAGTTTGTAGACGATACGGAATAACTATCTTGAGAATTAGGGGAAGCAAGGCTGTTATCTGAAATAATACAAATTTGTATGAAATAAAATTATTTTAAAACGATTATACATTTTTGAGTAATTATTTAAGTTTAGCTTTGCAATATTAAGATAATGCATACAAATGTCAAATCAAAAATTAAACCGATATAATATCGCTTATAAAGAGTGTCCCATAATGTTTTGTTGTTTTTAGAGAGCGCTAGTTTGGCAACATTAAGTAAAAGCGCCACGACTCTATATTTGCCAGGTCGAGGAACGTTCCAGATTATTTAGTAACAATACCTGGTTTCAGAAAGATGGTGGCACAACCCACACCGCCAGAAGATCTTTAGCAACGCTACTAGATATTTTTTCAAAATGAGGTGAGATACGTTGGCTCCAAGAAGTCCTGATCTAACTCCCCTGGATTGTTTTGTAGGGCTATCTAAAATCCAAGGTGTACAAAACACCACTACGCTCTCTGGGGGCTTTCAAATTGCGAATTCAGGCTAAAATGCTATTCCAGAGGAAATAATACGCGCTGTTTATTACAATTCAAGGTCCAGACTTTAAGAATGCGTGACACGAGAAGGAAGACATATTGAAAACATTATTTTTAAGAAATTAAAATCCGCGTTTATTATTAACATTTTCACATTTAATTTAATATATTTTAGGCAAAATAATTTGTTTTATTTCAGTTGAAAAACAGAAAAACATTATGGGACACCCTATACTTCCAATATCAACATAGGCATATGAATAAAGTTGCAACATATCTATTAAAATTTAAAGTCCCTTTCTTCGTGTAATATTTTGGAATTAAATTTGGGGCACTTAAATCAACTGATATAAATAGCTTTTCTACTGGCAACTAATGTCATTAGCCATCAATTTTAAGCGGGGTCATATGGCGAGTAACATTTCGTTTGAAAGGTATTTCATCAACCTATTCAACCATATTAATATCCTAGAGGGTAGTAAGTATCTATTATACACACTAATTGTTGAGGAATTAGGCATTCCAATGACCTGTCAAACAATAGGTGCCAGTGGGAAATTCTTGTATATTTAAGGGGGTAGCGACATAGTCTTGCAATTTGGACGCTATTTTTATTCGAAGTAGTACTTGCCAAGCCTGCCAATTTATGAAGAAATGTATAGGTGGGTTTTTTTAAATATTATTTTTATTATTCATGATTTTACGTAAAGTAGATAGAATACACCATATGTCGCCACCCTTAGATATACCAAACCTGCCCACTGGTAATTCATTTGTTTGGAATGCCTAATAGAATAGCCCAAAAAAAGAAAAGAAGAAGAAGAAGAAGAAGAAGAAGAAGAAGAAGAAATTTGTAATTTAAAGTATGTAGTGTAGATGTCACTTTAATACTTAAATTTGCCGCTAAATTTAAGTTGGCAATGTCCAGTGTGATCTTTGGTAATTTCTTAGTTGACAGAAACAGAGACGTGTAACTTAATAGGAAGATTTGTTCGGTGGTCCATTTAAATTACATATTATGACTTTCTTTCTCTTTTACATTGATCTTTACATATATTTATCTCTCTCCAATAAAACTAACACCAATCTTAGAGGTCGCTGATGTTGCTGGTTTTTTGACGTTGACGTATAAATTAGAACTGACAATGTTATGAATGTTATGAACGTGTGCATTTTATTAAAATTAATTTAATTTGGGCCCCATTTATTTCTTTGAGTCTGATTTTCTTGTTTAATTTTCTTTGGGGGGGGGGGGGGGCGTTTATTTTCGCATATTATTTTTTGCATGAAGCAATATCTGAAACCAAATTCGCGTTTTTGTACACGTTTCTTTCTAGAGGAAAGTAATTTCCAATTTATTAAGAAAACCACTGTATAATGTGTGCGTTTAATAATATATTATAAAATGGCTATAATTATTTTAGATGAATTGAAACAGACATTCATTATTACAGCTACTTTTGTTCATTAAGTAGGTATATGAATGTCTGGACAGCTTTAATAGCAGCACAAAGTTACCACCTACTAGAAAAGAAAAATGTATGCTGAGTAAAAAATCTCTGCACATGTAATATTGGCAAAGGACTTTTGAAATGATTAGAGATTGGCTATTTCTTACATACTTAACTCTAATAGCTACTGATGCATTGAAAAATAAATTTGGGGACATCAGGGCGGTTTTGGATTTTAGAGTGAGATCAATCCTCAAGAAAAGTTAATTTATCCTACAGAACAACCAGTAGTTTAAGTAGGATCTGCTATAACTTTATTAGAAGATTTCCTAGATAATAAATTGTAATATACCAATTGTTTCAAATGAAATTGAAAAAGAGTTAAATTCGAAATTAGATTTTTCATGGGTAAAATGTTATATTCATTCAAACATCGTAAGGTAATCTACAGTCAAATAGTTTTTGTTTCTCCTGTAAATTTGTATAGAAAAACCATTTATTTCTAAATCCAAGTTTGAATTTCCCGCCCTAAAGCATTTTTAATTTTCCCGCTATTTACTAGTGGCGCCATCATAGACTGGTTGTGGTTACAATCTCCCAAACAACTTTTACCGAACAAAAAAATACATTGAGTTGCACGTCTTGCTGGGTTGTCTCTGCAGATAGACTTCACTTGTGACAAGTGGTCACTTTGGTTATTTATGTGCTAGAGTCAGGTGCATTGCGATTAAACAATTTCTAATTTTATTATGAGTAATATTATGAAAATATGAACGTTGTTTAAAAGAAGTAATAACTACAGTAGAAATTATGAAAACTATAATAATATATTTTTCTTTCCTTTATTAAAATAACTCGAGAGCTTTGGACATCAAGCCATCATTAGGACACTAAATATTGACAGCAAACATAGTTTAACAGTAAATAGTAAACTTATTAGTTAAAACATAGAAGTAAAAAACACAATAGAGCCATTAAGAGATTTTTTTTTAAATAGTGTTATTAAATAAAGAAAGATTTAAACAACATAATTCAGCAAACTTTGAATAAAAAGATATATGTGACCAGGACAGGGATTCTTATTTGCATACTCAACACGTAACGAATTGAATAGAGAGAGATATTACATACGAATCACATTCTGTGGAATGAAGATAATCGTCTCAACACGTGTCGAATTGAGAGATGAGAAACCCAATACAGGACAGCTTCAGATGTTGATTTATAATAAATTGACAAAACAAATCATCTATAATCATTGCATGGATGTTTATTTTGTTTTTAAGTAATTTTAAATGATCCCATTTAAATTGAGTGGTCAAAAAGGCATTTCAACGTCATCTTTGATGGTTAATCCAGTTTTCAGTATAAAAGTGTATATAAGAAGTTCAAATACATTAGATCATTGGACTAGTCAACTGCCCTGCAAGGGGACGACGGTGGTGGCTTTAGATGTCTTATTTATTAATGATAAAGAGTTTCCTATATCATGATTATGTATTAGTATTTAGTTTATAAAGCAATATAACCAAAAAAGTAACATAATTATTTTTGGTTCGCCTTCTTAAATGGAATGGCAATTTTACTTGTTAAAGTTTAATTTTGGAAATAGATTTTTATTGAAAATATCTAGTTTTCTTACATGTACTTATATGTCAAAAAAATCTTCTGAAATCACCAACTAAACGATTTTTGATACTTTATTTTTTATTAATTCACATATAAACAAATAGCAAATTATGATTCTTCAAAATTTTCAACAATACTGAACGCATTATATTTTCAATCATTACAGCAACTTATCAAAGTCATGACTAGAATAAATACCAATGCTTATGAAGCTGATGTTTTATTACTACTTAATGTTAATTGTACTTTAATTTACGGAAACATATCATGTTATTTATTTCACTATATAAAGATATAATGTGAATTTTGATAGTTTATTTTAGGACTCCAAATTCGCCAATTCAATTATTTTGAAACATAAAAATTGAATAGTAAGTTAATAAGATCTTTTATTCTAACCCTCCAGACTCCTCCACCACACTGGTTTGTTTACCACTCATTCTATCAATTAACACATTTGTTTGATAATCAAACGGAGTTAAACAGTCGTCCCCCAACATAGGATCATAGAACACTGTTTGAGGCTGAATCGCCGAGAAAACAAATTAGTTTTGTTAATGGGCGAAATTGTTTTTTTCAAGTCCTGACACCATTCCTGCTAATTATTATAAAAAATGATTTTCTGAATCTGAATATGCCTCAAGTTTTTCTCCATCACCCACCTAACGGAAGGGTAAAAGGAATATTTTAGCCTTTATAGTCCAGAGCATTTAGATCAAAATCGACCGGAATAGCAGACATTTTTAGGGACAGCAGATATCGAGATCAATTCTGGCATTGGAATTACCGGTGGGCGCTCTGGGGCGGCTCTGCGAGGGTATCATTCGGGGAGGGAATTGCATAGTCCATGGGAAGCGCTACTCACTCGTTACTCGGGGGGTTTTGGGGATGCCGAATTCAATTCTGGAATTAGACTTCCCCGGGAGCGATCGGGGGTCCCTCTATGGGGTTGTCTGGGGGTGAAATGGCAGCGTCCATGAAATCGCTCCAAAAACATTACTCGGGGATTTTCGGGGATGCCGAATTCAATTCTTACATTAGAATTACCCGGGGGTATGAATAATAAAAATTTCGATTGAATGTTTTACCGAAGCTGTATTTGAAAAAGGCGCTAAAGCTGTAAAGAGAGTAGAGTATTGTTACCACAGGGACCGGCGCGATCAGAAATATTCTGTATCGACTGAAGAGAAAAAATATGGGTCTAGTTCCAACGCGCAGTCGGCGTTTGTGTGGCATCAGTATTACATCTGTCCATCTGTCGTGTTGTAAATACAGTGCTACAATAAGCAAGTTTTTTGAATTTTGGACCTTTTTTGGTGTTTGAGTTCTGTCCGGCACTCTTATACCACGTTGGTTTTTTTATACGTAAATATAGTGCTAAAATAATCAAGTTTTTTGGATTATTTTCATAATTTGTGATTTTTCACTTTCTCCTTTATCATTTCCCACAGAGCCACCCCCAAGCGCCCCCGGGGAAGTCTAATGCCAGAATTGAATTCGGCATCCTCGAAAACCCCCAAGTAACGAGTTTGGAGTGATTTTCATGGACGCTGCCATTTCCCCCCCCAATCACCCCCAGACAACCCCACAGAGTCACCCTCGAGCGCCCCCGGGGAAATCTAATGCTAGAATTGAATTCGACATCCCCGAAAACCTCCGAGTAACGAGTTTGTAGCGCTTCCCATGGACTATGCAATACCTCCCCCCCCCCAATGACCCGCTAGATACCCCCGCAGAGCCGCCCTGAGCGCCCACCGGTAATTCCAATGCCAGAATTGAATTCGGCATTTTCATAACGAGAAACCACTCCAGCAAATATTGTGGTTTATTTCGCCGACTTAATTTTTCTACATCCAAGGTTCCTCGAGTCAATAGACCCTTCACTAATTCAACAAGGAGTGAAATTATTAATTCACTAAAAACTGTCGACCAGGAAGTAAATTAGGCCTTTATTCATCACTGCTTCGACTGTAAAAAACCGTATACTTTAGAAAACCTTCCTTCAATGAGTGATTGTCCGTCCGAATTAATTTAAACTATAACGACTCGTGCTCCATATATTTGCAATAACACAAAAAAACATGGTTTTTTCATTACATGACCTGTACAGTACTGTTTTTTCTAAATGTTAATTATTATTGCGCAAGTTTTTTTTTTTTTAATATTGAACCAACGGTTCCTTAATGAATGATAACTCTGTCATGGATACTTATTTACCATTCCTGAGATTTCTGAAGTAAATTTATAAATCATCTCTAAGCTTCGACAAAGTATAAGATTAGTTTATTTTGACTAGATGCTTTGTATTGAAGATAAAAAACACTCTCAAATAAATTAATTTAAATAGAAATAATCAGTATAAGTTTAAACTTACTCTCTATAACATTGTGTAGACCAGCTAAGCTTTCTTGACTCAACAATTGATTGATGGTGTTGTTGAACATATTTTGGTTATCATCCATGGTACTGTTGATCGCCATATTAGAATGACGGGTAGACGAAGTACTTTGTCTGCTCTTGTGAGCTACTTGTAATGTTGTTACATCGCTCGATGTTGGAGATGGAGCCTCCTGTTTGAATACCGTCAAGTTGTTGATTCCCAAAATGTTACCGCTAAAAATTTCCAATACATTTTTAATTTTATCTAAAGGCATTATTCATTTTAGTTTTTATACAAAATTAGTATGTGATAAACTACAACTATAAATATAAGAAAAAATTATACAATCTCTTAAATTGGTAAATTTATCAGAAATATTTAATTTGTTTCAAAATAACTATAAATATATGTAACATTAATTACAAAAAAATACTTTATAGAAATGGTTTCTATGACATACTAGAAAAATAGAACGCTGTTGAAAAACAAACCAGACAAATATAAATACAAATCCAAAGATAAAAAATTGGTAATTCTTATCTAGAAACAAACCTGCCATACAGGTTCTGTCAAACAACATATTGGGAAAACATAGCTGACAAGGTCTTCTAAGAGACTCATTAACATTGAAAATGAGGATACACCTCTTATAAAAAGGTATCAAAAAACAATAAGAACTAGAAAATGTAAACAAATTAAAAGATAGAGAAGAGGAAAAGCCTAATGTTTGTCAAATTTTTACCTAAACTTATTTATATTCTTTTAATATTGGAAACTCACCTCACAGTATAAGTATTACCAACTAGATCATTGGTATTTAGGTTTAAAGAGTTTTCGATATCTGTATTTAGATCTGTATAATCTTCTACTTGCCAGTGTTGCATTTTTACGGCGTCTAAAAAAAAATATAGTAAAAATAAAAAAATGCCAATTGATTTGCTGCTTATCAAAAATTCAATTTTGTATATCACCTTTATTAAGGGTTATAGAGAATAAAATAAAAGTATAAACATAACGGCAAAGCATTAGAATTTAAATGTAAAATAATATTTATTACATGTTTTTTTAAAGAAAGAAAATATGTTAAGGAAAGAGTCTCCAAAGGATTTACGGTCAAATTCTGTACTGCGGGACTGCCTAACCAGTAGTGCCTGTAGTCAAATATTTGGTAAAATAATCTAATCGCCAAAATGAATTATCGATCCGCTGAATTTGTTATTTGCTATTCACGGAGTTCTTAGCGTAGAATCATTTCTATCTGAATACGGAAACGAGGGAAGATCAATATTTTAGTACAAAAAAATAATATAGTTATATTATTTATTTTATTTAAATAATAATTACAAAGCAATAAGTAATTATATAATTATTTATTTTTGAATTTTTTTAAATACGAGTTTTTTATTTGTATTTATTAATTCTATTTACCTACATACTGATTGCTAGATCCATGTTTAAAAAAAAAAACTATAATTAAATGACCAATTTTTGCTTTAGCTGAAAACGAAATATTTAGATTTATAAAAATGATGTATATAATACCATTAATAAATGAATGGGCAGAGCTTGGGACTTTGTATTCGGCGATTCGGGTTTAAATCCCATAGTATTTGATGGCGTATATCGTTGGTTGACACCTGTGGAAATAAATATTTACCTCTTATATTGATTTTAAAAGAATGTTAACTCCATAAGATAGAAAAACAAACAGATAAGAATGACTTTCTCCTTAGTGCCCTTAGTGGGCAAAATCAAAGGCAGATTGTTGGAAATATTTTTTATCTCTATTTTCTTTCGACGTTATTCAATAATCATTGGTTACTTATGAACCTCTACTAAAGATACCTATAAAATATTTTGTTGAATATCTGAATTCTATATCCTGGGATATAGACGGACATTTGGTCGGATATCCGATCCACAAAATATATTCTGTGGATATCTCTGGGTTTTCTTGTATTATCTGGAAGATACTCATTAGATATTTTGCTGAATATCCATAGGATATCTTCTATATTCTGCATATAGACGGACATTTGGATATCCATATTAGATCCACGGAATATTTCTGATATCCTGTGGATATATTGGATATCCACAAAAGATATTCTGTGAATATATCTGGGATTTGGTGTGTTGTCTGGGCATCCCCCTTATTCCCCTGACCTCAGTCCTTTTTCCTAAATTGAAAAATGTCCTCAAAGGCCGTCATTTCGGGACTTCTTGAGAATCATTATAATTAAACCCAAAAGAGTTTTATTTTGTTTAATTAAGTCGGACAATTTTTGTAAGAGTGGCAAAACGTATTGTATACGTTATACCCAATGAAAAGTACCCACCCTAAATAACTGTGGAGGTAATAACTTTCTAAAAAAAGTGGTGAAATACGTCGACCTCGATTTCAAGGGGGTCACGTTTTACCATAATAATTGTATACGGAACGTCATAACTCTACCCTGCACAGTGGCTCCCTTAGAAAATTTAAATTGACAGGGGATCGAGTGATACCTCTTTTAAAAGATCTTTGGAATTATAATAAACAAAATAGAGCCATTATAAAAAAAAATAAAAGAGCAGATCCTACCCTGAGCGCGTAGCGCAATAGTCCTCAAAAACAGATGCGATTTGCAATTTTGTCGATTCTAAGCGTAGCGCGCGCGAGTCGAGGCGTTCCATCGCTGTGCAGGACCGTACCTGTTTATAATTTTTAATTGATATTTAATTATTTTTATTTTAAATATTTTGGAAAAATGAAATCTGCGAATCGCTCTCAAATTATGCGAACTACCACCCTTACAAATTTGGACGCCAAGTTCGGAAACACCCTGTATAGGTTGACTAAAATGTATGCATAGGTAATATGCTAATAAATATAATTCATTCATTAATTAAATTTTATAATACTTTTTTTAATACATCTAACATTAGATTTTACGTTTGTTATGATGTAGGAAGGTCTAGGAAAACCAAAGATAAAGTAATCACCCTACTTAAACTCAATGGACTTTGTTGCGTGACATCACTAAAAGACTCCAGTTCACACAGAGTACAAATAATTATTCTAATTCCAATATCATATTCAAGTGGTACTTTTGCCAAATTAAACCAAAATATGTGCCGAATATGTAATGTTTTCATTGAAGTTGATGGCCGATATTTTATTTTTGTTGCAGGAAATTATCGTAATGGTGTCTGATTTAATTCTAGAACGAATTTTGCATACTCAGTGTAAAACGATTTGTTATGTCACTAGAATAGCTTCAGCTGGTTTTTAGAAACATCAAAATCGTTTCTTTTATTTATTGGTTGGTTATTCGTTGTATTTCAAATTAAATTTAAAAAACAATGTTTAAAAGTTATAATTCTTTCATTTACATTTTTTTACATATACTCATATAAAAATAATAAATAAATACTCATAAATACTCATAAAAAAAACGGATATTCTTCTGTAATTCGCCAGCTAATTTCAAGACGCAAAAAAAATGTTAATATAATCACAATAAAACTTAATCTACTCTACGAAATTAAGCTATTGTGCGAGACAAATTATAATCAATTTCCTCTTGAAAAAATGCACGCCTTGACGTCAATGCTTGTAACAATAATTGTGCGACCTTTTCAATTAGGAGACACAACTTATGTGCTAACAGCCTACTGGCTAAGTAAGTCGCCAAATGGAGCTGAGCTTAAATAAAACGTTAACTTAAATTCTTGGAATATATCCGACGATTTAATAAACAAAGAAGATTTTTCGTGCATAAAAGATTACTTCAATTAAGACAAAAGCAAACGAATTATTGTTGAAAGATGACTTATGAAACGAATTGTCTGAACATGAAAAATATGTTAAACCTTAATGAATGGAATATTTCGCATTAAATAAATATTTTTATATCTTTTATGCAGAAATTTAGCAACCAAAAATAACGCGTTTAAAGATTCCAAACTCATATCTCAATAGTTTTTTTTTTGTATATCATTTAAAGGTTTAAAAATAAGAATTCAAATTGTTTTATTTTTTTATTTAGGTGTCTTTCTGAGGTTGTTAAATTTTTCAATAAAAATAATTTTTTTATACATATTCCACTTATTTTTTTCCTGTAGTTTTGTATTTTTTGTAACAAATACGAAAGGCAAAATAACACCAAGTGAAATGTTTTCCACTATTGAGATAAAGGATGTTATTCATTCGTTTTTTTTTGCAACTTTCAATAAATTTATTTTTGAAATAATTGGATATTATTTTAACACAGTAGGTTTCATCTATAAAACAATAATTTCGCTCATTCAAAAATTATTTTTGATCTAAAAACCCTATTTTTTTTTAATTATATTGTTTTTATTAAATTCATATTTTTATTTATAAATGTCGAGAAAAAAATTTAAATTTCTTAAATTTGGTTGAATTTATGTGATATTTAAACAAATATATATTTTTATAAAGTTGTATCTAACAGCTTGAAAAACGAGTATATATGAGGCGCCATTTTTACATCATTTAAAATTGATAAGAAAATTTTGATTTTTTACATCAAAAATATAACCTTAACCAACTTAAAGTCCATAATATGATAAAAAATTTTAATAGTAGACGAATATTTGACATAGTATTATTTGCCGAAACATTAATAGCTTAATCTCCTGAATCTATATTTAAAATAATGACTATACCTTTAATAATTTATTTGCACAATTCGGATGCAAATCCAAAAAAAGTAACCAATAATAATTTATAGTGTAAGCTGATAATATAAGAAAGTTAGTATAATAGTGAAAGAAAACATGAAATTGCAAAACGTCTAGGAAACGAAAATAAATTTTTTCAGAGTACAAATCGAAAAAGAATGGTATTGCGTTCAACTGAAGGAATATATTTCATATCCATTCTGGGTAGTAGGAACACTACAAAAATTAATAAAATTCATCAATCACAGTTCCTATTTTGATCAACCAACTAATATTATTTTTAAAATTTTAAATAAGTAACATTTCTGTCAAACTAATTGTTAGTAAAAAAAATTTAGTTATTGAGATTAAATATACATTAAAATGAGTTATTTTTATGTAGACTCGATAAATAATAATAGCATTTTTATTTTTGTTTGGTCTATAATTATAAATATTTCGTTAATTTTAATAAAACTATATAAAGTCAATTTAATTACGAGTATTAAAGAAAAACATTGTAAGCACCTCGGTGGTGGTGAGTTTAGAGCATTTGTCTCTTTTCTTGTTTATTCTATTTTATAAACTAGTGAAAGTTTAAATTAGTTATTTTATCTTAATAACCTAACATAATTTTTAATTATTATTAGTAGATTCTCATTAGTGGGTCATAGAAAAAATATGCTGTACAACTCGAGTGGATTATCCATATCACACTCAAGCGATTGAGGAGCACTCCGCTAACAGCGTCGTGCTCAAATTTTGTCTTCGTGCGATATGACCATCATAATATCCACTACTGTTGCACAAACTACCATTACTCATTTCTTATATAAGAATAAATAAAAAAAATATATAAATCATTACAATACTTGTTAAATTCAGAACACTTATTGGCTGAATTGAAAAATGAACTATGTATTTAATTCCCGGAATTAAAATATTAGGAATTTCCATTATCAACTACTGTCCTCTAATATTTCAATAATAGGTAAACAGGTATCAGACGACAGCTCAAATAAGGGATTAAAAGGGTTAGACACGAATTCGTTGAAGCCGACTAAAATAGTTTATGCGGGTTAATCTCAACACAAATTCAATGTTTTATATGACAAATTGTATACCCCTATATGGTAAACAGAGATATCAATCAAGGAAGGTGAATGGGAGATTTATTTTAAGGTATTTATTGTGGCACTACTTACAGTTTTTGAATTTTATGTATGTAGGTATGTTATGTAAAACTATTTGAGTCCATTGACTGTTTTTTGCATGGAATTCTAATAGTTCTTTTTGTACCTATTAAATATTTTATCTGTTTTCCCGTTTTATTTAAGCATTGTATCATTAATTCCACAAAAGTTAGCTGTTACATCCTACAAAACATAAACTTAGTAAAATTATCAAAATAAAAATTGACCTCTCATTTTCTTATGTAATATGTATAATTGTATATACATACAAAATTTGATTTATATAAGTTAGTGCATTCCAAAGTTTGTGTTCTTTATGCGCTTGTTTAGATTTTTTGAGAAGAAAGTTAAATTGATTTATTTGTATTTTAGCATACTTTAATTTAAACTTTTTATGACATGAAAGGTAATTTACCAACTAGAAATAAACTTTTCAAATTTCTTCCTAAAACGATACCAATGCCGGGCCTGTTTATGGAAATTTTTTGTCGGTCGGAGGCTTGAAAGCAGAAGTAAAAAACTATTCGTCGATGGTTAGAAATTTTTTAAGTTCCTCTACTCACTGCCGGGGAATGCCACATCCCGGAACACCTACTTTGCGGAAAGTTATACCCATCTTTTTCTTGCGTGAAATGCGATTCCTTAAACTTAAACCTTAAATAGCTGATTCCTCTTGAAAATTTCAAGTTGATATCGGTTTTTTTTCTGTTAACATTTTTTTATATTTCAACCCCCTTAACCCCCATTTTTATTCAGATTTGTTTTAGAATCTGCCCGCAGTTAGCGATCATAGCCCAGCACAAATTTCAGTACTCCACAAACTGTTTTGGGGTGAATGTCGCTTGCAAAAGTTACGTAGTTATCGGTACATAATATATCTTACAAACAAAATGATCAGTTTTTGCTAAAAAGTAGCTAAAAATAAATGCTAATCAATTAATTCAAAAAATGCTACAAATGTTGGTAAATAAATGGAGATGGAGAACGTAATACCTATAATATTAACAACACGCCACTAAACCCAGTAGGCGGCGGCGCCTACGAGTGGATCCGTCAAGTGATGACGCAGCTGTGTTCTTATTGTAATAGGACCCTAATCTTAATCATGAAGGATAATATTACTTGTTTAATAAAACAATAAATAAAAAAAATCTCATTTAAAAATTAGCTCAACAGAAACAGCATTATGACACTGATGGTGAAGACTACATTTTTTTTATTTTTGACATCTTTACGTGAAAAAAATTCCTATCCGCCCCCACTTCACCCGTTTTTTTACAACGCCGAAACGGTAAAATATATTAACAAACTAATTGTTTGAAACCATTTAGAAAACACCCCCTACTTTACCTACTACCGATCTTCTGGGTTAGGGAAGGGAGGAAAATAAAGAGCTGTACAGAGCGTAATTTTTTTCGTTGGAAACAAAATACGAGTATCAGGGCCTAGACCCTAAAACTAAAAAAATTCGACACTACCCATAGTAAAAAAAATCATATATCCTTGGTTTAGGGGGTAAGACTGATGTCTATTGTTACCCAAAAAGTTTTTAAAATACATTATTACATAAATTGTTTAATTTTATTAATAGTTTTAAATTATATAATTTTGATATTTCTTTATTTTAATTTGTTGAAGTTTAATAAAAATGTATTTTCAAAATGATACTTTTAAATGCTAAATAAAAAAAAAACTTATTGTGTGATTGTTGTTTTAAACTTTGATATTTTTAAAAAGATTACTGATGAATACAAAGGAAACAATTTAAAAATAGTTCATATAGTTCAAATATATTGACTTTTCATATTAGCTCCCATACAGATGATAAAGTTCAGTATGTTTCCTTACCTTGTTACGCGCAAATGGATATGAACTGTTTATTTTTCGATTTAAATAGTTAAATGATAGTACACATTTTTATTTATGGTTACCATAATAATTTTAATAAAAATAAAATTACTGTGATTAGATGATTTATTTGTTAACAGTAACACGAGTGCGATAAAGGCAATCCACTCGAGTTGTACAGTATATTTTTTCTAAGACTCACTAAATAAAATTACAAAATTTTAAAAAACAATCTAGTGGTAATTGAGATAAAATAACTATTTAAAATATAATTAAACTTGTTCTTATGCAAAGAATTTAATGCACTCTTTAACCCTTTCAGTTCCACTTTCATTAAAAACAGATCATTAAAGTAGATTTGTTCCTCTCTAGGAACACCATTTTTCACAGCATTAAATGGATAAATTTTGACATCTTTTATTAGCAATTTAAAAAATATGCAAATAAAGTAAATAAAACAAAAAAAATATTTTAACTAAGAAAGATGCAAAGTTCATAGTTCTTTTTGATTTTAAAATCGATAAAGCAAGTTTCTTTATGTCAAAAAAAAAATACGGGAGGATTAAAAGGTACCCAACCCCCCAACTTTTTTAAAAGGGGTCGCTTTAATTTTTTTTTCTCCTTAGAATATTGGGCCTTCATATCTACAGCACTGGCAAAAATTTCGAAGAAAAAATCGCAACATCAAACTTTTAAAAAAAAAAAAAAACGTTTTTCTGAATGTTAATTTAACGCCTTGTAACTTTGTTGGGAGCCAGTTTTTGATATAGGTAAATATAGCCAAATCCACTTATTTTTTGGTAATCTATTTGAGAAAGAATTTATGACATACCTTTTGAAACACCTTGTATATAGAAATTTTAAAATTAATTTACTCTTAATTATAAAATTGTTTTTATTTTTCCTATATACCATATCCTCAAGTGATGCGAAACATTTTATCAAAAATAATTGTTTTTTTGAAAAAAAATATTTTTCTAATGTGTATAAATTTTTTTGGGATACACTGTATAAGGAATTGTGACGTGCTCTTTGAGCACATCGTTAACATCAATATCTAAATACACTTTGTTAACGACGCAATTCCTTCTACAGTGTGTTCCGAAAAGTTTTGTACATGTGAGTTTTGTTAAAAAAAAAATGTTAAAAATTTGTGCTTCACTTGGGAATTCATAATCCACAATAAGATGAGCAACTATTATTTAATAAATAATAAAAACTAAACCCTAATAAATTAGTTGGTTATATATTTTAAATTGGTTACATGTAGGTACTAGGTACAAAATTATGTTGAAGGTAGGTATTATGTAGTCACATTACCGTGAAATATTTATAGGATTACTTTTTTAAATCGGACAAAAGCGGGACAAAATGGGGACACATGTATCTACCGCTAATATTTATCAACATAGCCATGACCGTCTGACAGAATTAATCTTTAACTGTTTTATTTTGTATTCGCCGTTATTTTTCTGTTTGTTTACTTTGTCGTACTAAAAAGTGATGTTATAATATCTTCTTTTTTATTAATTATAATTATTTACAGTTGGCGATGAAAGTTTGTATAGACCACGTCAGCAAAGTGTCTTTATCGAACTCGCCTGTTACTTGCCTCGCTCGGTTAGTTCGATAAAGAATCACTTTGCTGACTTGGTATAACTATTAGGTATCTCAATAACTAAACAATATACTGATTATTACTTTGATAAAGTAATCATAATTTTAAAATTTTAAAGAAGAATAGCGATTTTTTAGATTTCGTATCCTTACTAGAATGGCTATGAAATTATACCCATTCGATAGACTGATATCGCTTACTTATTCGTTTGTTACAAAGTGGATAATATAAATGTGATTGTAAGAAAAATTAAATATTTACTAACCTCGTTGAATGATATTTTTCTTCAAAACCACCTTTCCATTCACGATCGGTCCCTTGGCCATTTGTTTATTTTTGCTTTCTTCGGCTTCTACCGACAACCTTCTCTTTTTCAAATTCTTATCTTGTTCGTCGATCTTTATTGACGTCCATCCAAATAAATCGTTTTGATTGTCCATGCTGCAGTCGCCCGGTAGGTTCCAAGAATTTTTAGAATTATCCGAATTGTCATTCAACATGATGTCTGAATTTTCATAAAGTTGATAATCCATATCAATTTTAGGTAAACTAAACTCGTTTATTTTTCTATTCTACGGTTCGCTAAATTTACTACCGACTCTTTTTTCCACTACCTGTTTTCTTTAAAACATCACGAAAAAGGAATTGTACAATTTCTTGATTCCCGTAGTTTCCCTTTGTCTATGATTTTGCAGAAGACTAGAATCAATTTCGAGCATCTTATTCAGCAAAAAACGTGATTCAATATCCATTTATCACAAATAAAAGAATAAAAACTTATAACCCTGTTGAATGAGGGTATTCCGTCTAGATGGAACGCGTAGGAGATCAAAATCTAATAGATTTCTAAGCCGTTTTGGCGAAATTATGCACAAACTCAAAAACTAAAATCGTCAAATGAACAAACATCCAAACACAACAAGTGTATGAAATGCAACTGAGACAATAGGACAGTTGTCGCTTAACTATCAAACATATGAATTACTTAAATTGATATAAATTGGCGAATGGAGATCAAGTTAAACGTTAAGTCGAAGTGATATATCTGCAGATTGTTTAAATGAGACCTCTCTTTCTTTCTCGCTTCTGAATAAAAAATCCGCAGATTCGATGAAGCTTAAACGGATCGGCCGACGAAGGTTTCAAAAGCGAAAATTTTGCAGAAGAACTGTAGTACTTCGAATGCATTCAGATTGCTGAAACAAAAGAAAACAATACAATATGGAGATCGAAAATTTACGCAAATTTATATTTATAAAATGTCCTTTTTCTCGGGTTTTAAAGCTAATAAATATATTTATTCAATTATTACAATTAAGTTAATGGTTAATTAATTGGTTATATTTCAAGTACAAACAGATTTTTTATCGAAAGTGGTTACTGAAACACTTTCTTTTATATCGTTTGGCAAGGCATTAAAAAATCGAATCCCTTCACAAAATGCTATCCTTCCAAAAATGCTTTCGCCGTAAGATTCGCCCGTGCAGGTCGAACCTGGTAGATAGCAAGCTCCACAAATATTTTGTAACTTTCCTGTTTACCATTTTATATACAAAAATCAGATTCGATCTCTTAATACCTAAATCCAGTTTAAATCTTTCAGCATTGTGCTCATAGGTGGATAACTGTGTGGTCCAATGAAAAGTATCCACCCCCTTTTTGTTTGGAGGCGGACACATTTTTTCCTAATTGCATCACTGACACTTCAACCCTCGAGCAGTGGGGTGAACGACCCCTAGAATTTAGATAGGGAAAGTACTAAGTGTGGCACATTTTTGAAAAGGTAATTTTATAAGAAATTCAGCAATACCAGTATTGTTGTATCAAATTCCGATTTTAGCGCCCTCTCGAGGACGAAAATTAGGCACCTAGTCTTTCCTGTTTTTTTGAAATTTAATACAGAAATGTTCGGAAACGTCGATTTTTGTTTATAAAGGACACATTTAACAGTTAATACGAAAACTGCTTTAGAAACCTCAACCCTGCAGTTTTAGTATAGAAAAATTCACTTAAATTTTGGTTAAGAGTCAAATAAGAAGTAGATACTAAATTACTTATTTTAATAAAAACTTACGACTTAAATTCCAATTAAAACTAGATCTACTATATCAAAACGAAATTTTTGATTTATCGTTTCCGTTTTTTGTTAAAATAAAAACAAGTAGTAAACAAATAAAATAAGAAAACAATTTAGGCAAACGTTCATTGTGGTTTCTTTACAATTTGGTTGCTTTTAAAATTATTTTAATTTTATTATAAAAAAATGTTTTATTCCATTCCAGAACGAATTGAAATTGTGAAACTTTATTTTCAAAATAATAGTTGCGTTAGGCTTACTGGTCGGTTGTTTAATAACAATCATCCCAATAAAAATGTGAATCATTCGTATTGTAATGTGAGCCATTTCATTATTCAGTCATGCTCTAATACTCCAAGTCCCTCTCTGTATTATTTGCCTTTGAGGCTCAACTTGTCCGCTTATGGTGGAGGTGCTTTCGATGATGTTCGAGAAAGAACAAGATAATGTTTCTAGTGTATTGGAGAGAATATGTGAACTTACTAGAACATTCGCCAATTTTTTAAATTTGTATATAAATATTGGTGGAGGACCCATCAGAGTTAGTTATTATATGGATAGGTGAAGATAAATAGTAATTAGTAGATAGACAGTGGTTAATATAAATAGTGATCAGTTTAAAGACATTCGAAGTATATATAAATTAGAATAGTTGTGTCATAAAATAAATAAGTGTTTAAATAAATTATTAATAAATAAACTGTTGTTTTAAAGTAAACAAACATCACAGTATGTTATCAAAATAGTACAAAAGTTTTCCAATGCTGTAATAAGAAAATTCAGATGCAGCGAGTCGTCAGAACTGAAATTGTGGAAGTCGCTGTTTTGGGACATGTTGAGTTGGATCATACGCAAAGTACTCAACTAGCTGAAGTCTCTCTTTATTTATAATAAGGATTTTAAAAGCTCACAAATTTCATCCGAACAAAAGTAGATTAGTACAAGAGCTGAGTGAGGATGATCTTAAATAGAAGACAGCAGTTTTGTGAAGAAATGAGGCAGTGTTTAATTGCAGATCTTGACTTATTATTTAATATTTGTATTTCCGACGAGTGTACATTTCATTTGAATGCAGTTTTCAATAGGTATAATTGCTGTTACTGGGATGACAGTAACCAGTAACCCACATTTATTCCGTGAGTTTCATACCCAACACCCTGAAAAAATAAATATCTGGTGTGGCATATTAGGTAACCATATTGTAGGACCACTTTTTATTCTTGGAAATTTAACTGGTGAAGTGTACCTAAACATGCTTGAAGATGAAATTGACCTTCTTATAACAGAAATATTAGAAAATGACCCATATCATGATGTTGGTCAATTTTATTTCCAGCAAGATGGAGCACCTCCACACTATGTTGGTGCTATAAGAAAATTTTTAAATAACCGGTACCCTGGACAGTGGATTGGAAGGAGAGGCCCAATTGAATGGTCACTGCAAGGTCACCGGATTTATCGCCTCTGAACTATTTTCTTTGGGGACCTTTGAAAAATAAATGTTTTGCTACGAAGCCTAATTCCATAGAAGATCTTCGCCAACGGATAATAGCTGAGTGCAAGAGAATAACACCTGAAATTCAACAAAATGTTCGCAATACATTTGAACAAAATTTGTATTACTGTATGGAAGCAAATGGGTCACATTTCTTATAAAATTACCTTTTCAAAAATGTGCCACTCTTGGTACTTTCCTTATCTAAATTTTAGAGGTTGTTTATCCCATATTCAAGGGTCAAAGCGTCGATGCTGAAATTAGCATTTCTACTTCTAGGTGCATATTTTCACCCTCAAGAGGGCGCTAATATCGGAATTCAATAATATCCTCATGCATTTATTTTTATAAAATATCCTTGCTAATTGTTCATTTGAGCTAGCTAGAACAAGTGAATCGCAGTAGTTGAAATGGGGATATATAATTGTGTTATATACCAGCACCCTTGCCCACTGTATCAAATCCTAATAATAATAATTATGGATCAATAATGACTCCCAAATATTTGATTTCATTTCAAGTGATTTACTATTTATATTAAGAGAATAATTATTTTGTTTATACTTCGGACAGTTTGCCCTAGTTCCCAATACCATGTACTTAGTTTTAGTAGAATTTAGTTTTAATTTATTACCACAAAGTCAATAATACAGAATATTCAGTTCATTGTTGAGATGCCTCTTTTGCCATTTTTATTACTTCCGGTGGGGTAAAAGAAAAGTCAGAATCGGAATCGTTATTAATACAAAAGAACCATACTGTCAACTGTCATTGGGTCCTATGATTGAACTTTTACGTTAATTTTAACACGATTCTAGGGGTTATGATTGACAAGTAACGTTATTTTTAACAGGCACGTTATTTGTGAACAGGTTGTTATTTCTGTGTGTTTATTAGATAACAGACCTGTTAAAAATAACACAGGTTGTCAATCATAAGAATAACACAGTGGCCATTAAAATTATTAAAGCATAATTTAGAAAACGAACATGTACAAAATTGATATTCGTCAACTTAGCGCCTCCAAGAGCGAATCACTGTGACACACGAACCTTGTTGTTTACGAATCGATTTTTAATGAACAAATCCCTACATAGTATTTGCAGATCGCGCATCCGAATATTTGTAGTCGATAGGGAGCTTAAATATAAAGGTTATAAGTATTCATTAGCATTTTATTTCTATTATTTTCAAGATTGTATTCATTTTAACATTAAATATAATCTGGTTACTTACCATTAAATTACAGGCTGAGCCAATGAAACGGGACGATTTAAAAAAATTAGACAACATTGAAAAATCATTTTTTGTAAAATGTATTGATAAAAACTGTGACGAAGTCACTAAATTTTATTTTTAATTCATTTTAAAAATGTATATTTTAATTAATTCCCGCCTGAGGAAGATTTGTGTTTCCCAAAAATCCCAGTTTTTTAACAATTGCGAGTACCCTCGTGGGACACCCGATCAATAAGTGAAAGAATTTTGATTCATACTCAGTATTTTCATTTCATCCCTTAGTGGGAAACCGTTGGCAATTTTTTATTTGAGACTGGATATAGGCTATACTGCGAGTGCTCTCCATTTCGACGACTCTATCCAATCTCTTTTAAGAAACGCCCAGTTAACACTGGAGTGAGAGGTTCAACCCGTTTTCATTGTTTTTATTATCTTTGGAAAGACGCCCAATTTATTTTCTTTTTCGGATGTTCGATCCGTCCTCGAGTTACGAGTGCTCTCTATCTCGACGACGTTATCTAATTTCCCAAAAAGACGTCTAAATTAATTTTCGCGCCTCACTTCATGTAAGTTTCTTTTCTTTTATTTATTTATTCAATTTTATTTGAATCATTCCGTTTTCCGTCACCAACTAATTTTTGAACGAAGCGTGACGTTTTCTATCTTTCCTAATTCACACACCGTTTTGATCGGCTTTGGCAAATCTCAAAATAATTATTACTCTAGCCATCGCATATTTCGTCCAAACGCCGTTGTAAATATTATAATTATCGCTCGATGTCAAACAGACACTGATGATCGGTTAGATCTATAATACAGGGGGGTTCCGAAAACTTCATTCAAATTTATAGTAGGGTTTGCTTGTACTGGACAGGGGGAACCATAATTATTTAACTAGTTTTCAACTGTAATAATTTATTTTTATTTAATTTTCCGTATACAGGACGAAATCGTAAGTATTTCTCTATAGTCTTTCAATTATAATAATTTATTTTTGTTTAATTTTCCGTATACAGGACGAAATCGTAAGTATTTCTCTATAGTCTTTTAATTATAATAATTTATTTTTATTTAATTTTCCGTATACAGGACGAAATCGTAAGTATTTCTCTATAGTCTTTCAATTATAATAATTTATTTTTATGTATTTTCCGTATATAGGGAACCATAATTAATTTCTTTAGCTTTCAATTATAATTATTTTTATGTATTTTCCGTATACAGGGAAACCGTAATTATTTTCCTGTAATCTCATTCAATTGTAATAATTTATTTTGTTTAATTTTCCGTATACAAGTGTGCCAATGCCGTGCATTACCACAGTTGTATTTTCTTTGTAAATATTTTATTATCTACTCTTGTGTTTCTCTTATTGCTGGTTCTAAACCGTTTTCTTTCAGGGTACCGTAGGGTACGAGGTTTAAAGGAGATAAGTGTGTACTACAGGGTCACAGAGCAAACTGTGTGTAAGTGCACATTCTTTTTTTTTTAATATTGAACTAAAGGTGGGGTTATATTAGGGGTATATCAGCAATTTTACCCAAATTAGAGCCTCTGGTTTTTTTTATTGTTTTGTTTATCTATTACTTCAATGATTTATACCGTTTTGAAACACTACATACTTTTATTTACCAGAAATGGATTTATCGGAAAACTAAAACATCTCAGAAGCTATGGAAAATAAAGTGACAACTGTGTTATCGGTTTTTTGTTAACAGTCCAACAATAATTAATAGGTTTCTTTCAACATCTCATCTAATCAACAGAAAGGCGTTAGATACATGCGCATTGAAAATAGTCTGTTCCTACAAAGCTATTGCTTTGGAACCAGATTATAGGGTAGGAACAACAATATTTTAACTTTTTAAAAATGATCTGTAGGATAACCATATTTTAAATTCTCCTCCAAAAAGGCGACCACATCCCAAACCTGTAAATTTTCAATTCTGACTACATTCGTGATGTTATTTATGATATGTACAACAAACAACAAGTAATTCTTGCGAAATCACATGAAACTAACGCCAAAAGAAATGTTTATAGGCTGGAAAAAATATTGCATACAATGTTAACCAATATAGGATTTAAATGGAAGAAAAATAATCCCCGGCGGGGTCTTATGGAACTTCCTCAAGTTGCCAGTAAAAAATTAGTTTTTTAAAGTTTTATTGCTGGGACAAAACTGTTGTTTTCATCAAAAAGTAACAATCCCGACTATCATGGGGAAATGAATGAAGCAAATTTTTTAAAATGGTTCGAGAATCAATTACTTATGAATTTAACTGAGCCTCTAAAGATTGTTATGGACAACGCTTCCTTCCTATCACAGCACAGGCATTGAAAATTTCATTGCATATACTATAGAACCCTCATAATTTTCAACAAGGAATACCCACCTGATTTTTTTGCATCCTGTATATTCTTTTCAAACCCAAGTACATTTTTGTAAAAGCACAAAAATATGAATATAAAAATGTAACAACTGAATATATAAAATAAAACACATATGAAAAATTTAAATTTAATTACAAATTATAATACAAATTAAAGAAAAATATATTTTTATTAACAATAAACATTGTAGTACGTGTTTATAAATCTAATCAAACATGTTTAATTAATCCACCAAACACTTCGAAGTGATGATTTAATTCTTTCACAGTATGTAATTTACATAAAGTCTCTAAGGCTCCATTTGATGATTTTGCACCAAAAAACACTCGTTTTAGTCTACTGTGAACAAGACCCATTGCACACATAACACATGGTTCTATAGTTAAATATATATAGTAACCAGTACACAAGTATGGACCATCAGCTGGTTCAATAAGTTCATCTTTTTCTTTATACCTTTGGGCACCAAACACAATGTCATTATGTTGAATCTGAAGATATTCTAATAAATCTTTTGGAATTCCATCAAGGTTTAGTTCAATTTTGGTATCTTGGTTAAGTAGTGGATTCCACACTCCTCCATTTTGGGTTTTAGCAACATTATCAATGGCTATCATTGGAGCATGTTTCAATACACCTTTGTTGGTTTGACGATATCCAACAGCTACAACTGATTTTCTCTTAGGATCAACAACAACAGCACCAATTTGCTCTTCTGAATAATAATTATCTTTAGCAAATTTAGCCACATCTACAGCAACCTTCATATATCGAGAATGACTTCTTAATTCATCATGAGAAAATAATGTATTTGTAGATAATTTCTCTAAATAGTTGTTAGGGTGAAAATTGCAAGGCCACAATTTGTTCACTTTTTCAAATTGTTTTCGAGTCATTGGAGGTATTTTAGCAACTTGTATGATCCTTATATTATTTTGAAATGCAGATGTATCAATAGTTTTCTCTTTTAATAAGTTAATAATTTGATATTGCTCAAGTGATACAGGATAAAGAATAATTTCTTTGCTTTTCATTCTTTTTAAATGAGCCAATTGTGGCAGAGGTAATACTGAGTTTATCTCTTTAATGATTTTAGAAATTTTCTTTGGATCAACTATGGTGTCTACATAAACATCAGTTAAGGGTGTATCTATTATTAAGTCATCTGGTAATACAGGATATAAAGTATTGTTCTCTGTTTTACTATGCTCTTTATCTAGTTTGATTCTTTTAGCCTCATCCATCTTTATATTTTGATGTGCAACACTTTTTTCAAAATTAACAAATTGATGGAATGAGGTGTTCAGGTAGATCTGAAAAAATTTGTAGAAATACATTGCAGCTCCAGTATAGAAACATTATAATTTTTCCAAATTATTAATTCAATCACTCTTCAGTAGGTTTCAAAAAACTTAAATAAGAGTTCGATCACTTAGTTGAAAGAAGAATGTTCATCAAAATTTATGAGTCTGATAAACTTTGTCAGATCTTAAGAATGTGATGTCTTAGTAACATGAATTTCAAATTATTCACCGTCTAAACATCTGTTAAAGTTTATCAAGATCGCAAATTTTAAAGAACGTTTTTGCAACTGGTTAATAATTTATAACCCCCAATTATATATCCCTAGTATTGTGAGCTATTTAATATTTTTTATCATAAATAAAAGCATCCCAGATAGGAATCCCACTGGAAATGTTAGGTTAAAATTGTTTGTTATACACTAGAGCTGGGAAACTATAGCAAAGTATATACAGAACATAAGCTAGATAATTAGAGATTGTGAATCCCGTGTTTATATTTATATAACAGTTGATAAGTTGGAAGTTAGGTTTAAAAAAGTTGGTGTAATGTAACTTCATCTTAATCACTGTAACATAGTAGACATGATGAGTGTAGATTCTGTGAGGAGGAGGATGAAACCTCTATTCATATTCTGACTGAATGTGTAGCACTCCAGAATCCAAGAGCATACCAAATAGAAGTCAATCTACCTAGCTTAAAGTCCCTTCCAATCCAAATCCTACACTTCCTTTCTCATCAGGTATTATCTGGGATTCACAGGACACAAAGATAGTTGTTCAAATCCCATATCAGATCATTTTTTTTGTTTGTATGGTTGGTTCATTGTACAATTAGAAGTGAATTTATATTTCTGTTGATACATCTATATATCAATCTCACTGTGCTACTGTGAAGATGATCATGGTAACAGTATTCTCTACCTATAAGTCTAATAGCACTATGAAGCGACTGTAAGTTGCCCAGGAGTACAAAGGCAAAGAACACAACCTCTGCTTTCAGGGGTCTATTCATTAGAGGAGAAAATGTGGAGCAATGATTATTATTGTCCTTAATCATAATTTATTGAAGCTTTACTGCAATTTTATATTACATCAAACATTTCCCCATACCTACATATCATTAGACATGCGAAGTAATTCATTTCTTTATTTTCTGTTTCATTTCATTATCAATATTGTTTCAAATATTAATTTTAATGTGTGACCTTAAACTAGAAGCCCATGTTCAACTTCAAAACTCAAGATTTATTAAAGCACATTTGAGTTTAAGCATTATTTAGACCTTGGAACAAATCAGTTAACCCCAATTAAAGAAGTCAATTGATCATTATTTCTTATTTAACATAGAGAAATACTTTGCTCCTAACATTGTAAAGGTATCTTTGTTCAAACAATCATTAAGTAAACAGAAAATGTATTAAATTGAGTAGGTAATATCAATTAAATATATATGAATAAATATTTAACGTACCTATTGTTTTTTGTAAAATGTAGCCCAGCACTAAATAGATTCCAAATTGCGGTTCTTCATATTTACTTAGGTTTATTTTATATACACACCGAACACTGCAGTACAAGTAAATTTCTTTAGATGATAAAAAGATCCAAAAAAAGATAATTTTCTACACTTGTCTTCAAATCGGGCTCAAAAAACTGGTACAAAATTACTGGGTAATTGGAAGATTTTGCTGGTGATGGTGATTGTAAAAAACTAACGACTATTGAGATCTGAGATTATGATCAAACACCAATAGATAAATAAAATATATTTAAAATATTTTTATAGAATGAAGGAATCGGGTTTTGAGTTGAGAAATTCAGGGATTTTTACTTTTTTAGTAAACTCAAATGTGAGGTTAGATTTAGATGACAACATGACAGCTTCGACCATTTTTTTAGATAGATAGGATAGGAACATGCCTTGTTTACATAAACAATGGTGGCAATAGTCTATCCAAGTTGCATGATCTCATATTTTTAGTAGATTTGTTGTCTGTCAGACAACGGTTGTATCAGGGTTGTATAACTATGAAAATTAGAGATAAAGACACGAATCGGCATACAAAAATACGGTCCCAAAAAACGCACCCTAATTTCTGGCCATTTTTCATCTCAGTCGGAAGTATTTATAACAACCATTTTCTATTTCACAATTGTTGTCTGATCCACCAGATTGTGGATTGGACAATAACAATGTGAAACAGAAAATGGTTATTATAAATACTTCCGAGTGAGATGAAGAATAAAAATGACTGCGCCCATAGAGTCGCACCTAGTTCTATTATTACAACATGCAGATTAGCATTCTACCCCACTCCAGTTCATTGGGTGGAACCAAAGTGTAATATACCTAGATAAATAAATATTATATAATTTAAATTTATTTAGCTAAGGTCGGATTCTTTGATATGATCAGATTTTTATTGACAGTTAACGTTTTTACATCTAATTTTTTGTTGTTTGTTTCCACACACAACACTAATTTCATGCCGTTTATCTCGCATTTTATAATAATACAATGTTTGACCCTTCCACACAATAGTAAAAGTACGCCACAGTTTGTTGTACCATGCATTGACTGTCTGTTCTAATACATGATCGAAGGTCGAACCAAAATCCAAAATTTGTTAAAAAAAAGCAGAGGAATGAAAATAGTCAAAACTATTGTTCAAAATACTGCAAAACCGGTAAAAGCTTTCAAAATATTTTTTTTTTAGAATACATATAAATTTGGTTGGCTACAATGTTTTCTTTTATTTTCATCTGTCATTCTTAGTTATTTGTTTTTGAGACTGGCAAAACTGACTGTGCCGCATATAAATAAAAAATATAATTATTTCAAATATGTCTAAAAGATTATTAAATGCTTTGGAGTATCCAGAAGCAGACAAACTAAACTTAAACGGTAATAAACTTTGTCTATTAACTGAATAAAATAAAAAGAAAAACATATTTTTAGATGAAAACGCCTTTAGGAATGTGATCGTCTGGCTGGAACTGAACAGAATTAAAAAAGCTCCCCAATCTTTATCAAATCAGTTGAAAAATACGAATTCCAAAGACTGGTATACTATTTATTGTAAATATAAAGACGGACTGGGCTGTCCTGTTTTGGAATCAAAAATAGAAGAGTTACAGTGGATATTAGGTTATGCAGTACAAATAGAAACCCAGAAGAACAGTATGTATTTATTATACTAAAAGCGTATTGTTTTTCAATAAGATTTAATTATTTTAATTCTAAATACATAAACCAATCTCATATTTTCCCAATATTTAGTGAATAATGAGAGTTTTTAGCAGTATTGTATAATCTGCAAGAGTATAACTGGAGAATCAGTGGTTTAAAAGATAATTCTATCATTTATCATGGGTTCGATTATTGCATTTCTGTTAGAAAGTTGATAATAACCATTTTTAAATTTTTATAAGGATTGATAATGGTTTTAAAATACTTAATTTGTTTTAGAAAACTTGTATTTCAAACATGCAGTGGAAAATTTACAAAACACTAACGTCCCTGCTGTAGTTGCAGAAAACTTATTAGACAAACTTGATTGTAAGTAAATCTATAATATTTTTTTTTAAATATCTTAAAAAATACTTTGTAATTTGTTTTTTAGTTCGTAGTCAAGAGTTTGCTGATGGTATTAAAGCACTTGCAAAAGTGTTAAATACTGTAACTCATCCTGATCCTTTAGTTACACTGAAAGCTGTAAGAAAAGTAATAATCCAAAGGATGTCACCAGATTGTGTGGAAAATCCAGACAAATATGTTCTAAAGGTAAAAACATTTCTTTAAATGTATTCTTAATTTAGTAATTATTTTTTTATTATATTTTATTATGCAATTCTTTTTTCAATATTGGATGTAATTACAAAACAAATTTTTTCAGCTCCCTGTTGCCAAACTGTACCTCTTTTCTAACTTTTTTTAAACACCTTTGAACTGTTTAAATTTACTAGAATTATTTAACTAGCAACATGTATATGAATTTCATCAGTTTGTTAGAAAAATAGAATATAAACTCTCAAATAGCTACAAATTCTTTCCCTTAGTGCAAGAAATTGTCCTGCTTTCCCTAAAGATGTACAACACAGTACATATGTACTTCATAGCCTTACCTTCTTGGTCATCAAATGTGTTTGGGTTCAATATTCAATTCTACCTACCATGTTTGACAATCAACAAATATTGATTTTTTTTACCAGTAGTGCATAATGTTTTAAGTTGTATAATTATAATTTCAGGGAACACCATTTCCATTTCAAGATACTGACCTAGGATTTGATTTGAATGACCCAGTCTTGAATCAAGCTGCTAAAATTTTGCGCATGATTTACATTCAAAACTTAAGAGATCTACAAACCAGAGCAAATGAACTAATTGTGGCTGTACAATCTGTAACTGCCAATCCCAAAACAGATACAAAGTTAGGAAAAGTTGGATTTTAAATAATACAGATTAAAAAACTAAAAAAATATATATTGTCTTGATTTTTCTTCTATCATTAAAATATAAGTGTAAAAAATAAGTACTGTCAAAAATAAATGAATGTCTAAGGATTATCTTTTGTATTACTTCTTATTGGTGATAAATCGAATATTTCTCCAATGCCTAAGCCGATACTACCTAAAATAAATGGTTTATTAACACTTTGAAGTTTTAGAATCATAATAGTGTATATTCTGGGTATAGTCGGAGCATCTGGGGGTATTTTATAGGGGGTCATTTTTCTACTTTTTGGAATATATTTGTTATTTATGCTTGGAGAAGAAAATTTTTCAAATAAAAGTTTCTTGTGATGCCATTCTCTATAATTTTGGTCTTATACATAATTTCCCAAAAATGGACTGTATTCGAGAAATTTGAGGTTAAGTGCAAAATTCAATTTTTACATGTAATACCATAAAAGTATAAAATTTCGTTAGCATGAATATATAAGAGTATAAAAAAAATATTTTGAGTAAGATGTGTGGAAAATGTATGTTTAGTTCATGCTCTCTAAACATTTACAGTACAATAGGTTGTACACAATAACCTAAAAAAGCCTATAATAACTTAAGGTAAGACAGGAAAGTCATGTAATGGACACATACGATATTTTGCAGAGGAAAATATGCATGTGAATCAGGAATTTATTTGTTATTATAAGAATAGAGCCAGTTTGGACTCAAAAATACAAGATCAAATAGTGAAAAACTTTTTTAACTCATTGAAAACTTCTTCTGATAGTACATTATTAATGTTACAAGAGTCGATAGAAGCATTTTAGTTTTACATCAGTGATAGTAGACTATTGTTCAAGCCAACAACATATCTTTGGGTGTCATATTTTTTATCGAAATCTATAATTGATTTATTTATTACGTTAGCTGGACAAATGCGGCGTTCAGCTTTACAAAATCAAATGCTTGACAGACTTTGAAAATGCTACATAATATAGTGAAATGCTGTCCTAAGGTCACCATATATTAGAAACAATAAAATAATTAGTTTAAAAGAAAATGTAGGTACATTCGTCTGCAAATTTCATAATAAAAAGTGATTTAAATATATCAGAATATACTATTATTTATATTTTTAAATATATGAGTAGTCATACCTATTCCCAGTAAATTTATCAACAATTTGGAATTTCTTTGATAACTCCTTCCTGTTTGTATAAGATAAGCTCCAATTCCACAAAAACAACATACACATATTACTTTACAAGCGGTACATGTCTTTTTCTGCGTTTCCATGTTTGCAAATACTTGATTTTTATTTCTGTTTTCAATTTTCTAAATTCTAACCCTAAAAATTTTGCGGCACAAATTTTAAATTTTCCTTAGTTCTTTAGTATTTAAATGTTGGTAGTTGGGTATTGGTATCTTTGTCTATTACATTTAGAATTGAGAGAAAAAATAAATATACATGACATATGACATGAATATTTGCCAAATGTCAAAATATGAAAATATTAGAAAATTGAAAAATAAAAACAAATCAAATATCAAAATCAAATATTAGATAAACGAAAGCCGACAACCAAACGTTGATAAATAAATAAAAAACGGATTAGTAGTACAATGTACAATAGTTTTTTTTCTAAAATCAATTGGTAGGTAAAAATTTATATAAAATTTTAATAATTATAGCATACTATTAAAAAACCTTAAAATAGGTAAGTCCTACTAACAATTAATTGTTAGCTTACGTGTTTATATGCAAATTACTTTTTAATAAATCGATTGTGATTATCTACAATAGTTGGGAGTGGTACATTTATTATACTTTAGTAATTAATACCTTATTTTAGCTCCATATATTTAACATTTTAATACATAACAAAATACCTCTTTAATAGATTACTAATTTAACAAGAGTGATTGTGCTTTAGAAAGAAAGCATTCATCAAATATCGACCAGATAGGTAGTGTAGTAGTAATATCGACCAGATAGGTAGTGTAGTAGTATATTATTCAATGAGCAGTAATATTACCTATTACTCTCAGCTGCATGTAAATAATTCAAAAAAATAATATGATAGACATTAGTCAATGCTAGTTGAATAGCAGATACTCTTTTTTTATTACTGAATTATTTACTAAATTCAAATTTATATCAATTTTGGTATGCCTTGCATTACAAATTCTATTGTAATTTTCAGATATAGTTTGTAGCACAACTAATTATATAATGAACAAAATAGAGCCAAGCAGCTAAAAGTATTCAAGAAAAAATATCAAAAAATAATGAATCAAGAAGATAAGGCAGAAGGAAATTTATCAACTGTGATACCAAAATATGGTCTCAAGGTAAAATTAGATCATAAATATCCCGAAAAGCGTGACCAAAAGTACATTCCAAGAATAGGAGTTGTATGGTCTATGTTACCATTAATTTTTAGGTAAGTTGCAAGTTTTGTACTGTTGGACCACAACTTAATAATATACAGGTCGAACACTTAAAAATTGTATGTTTATTTACTTATGTTTAACAAATAAATATCCTTTGTTAATTGTCAGTCTTGATTTTATTGTTTATTTAATTCTAAAAGTTGGAGCTTGATAATATATATGCCTGAATTGCATAATATGGGATCATTTACTACTGTATCCAGAATATATGTATATTAGAATTAATAAAATAGTTTTTATAAAATTACTTAATATGATTCTGTTGCATTTTTCAAAATCAAACAAATATTTTAAGTAAGCCTCTGACATCTTACCTAGGTGCAAGAGAGATAGCAAGTGTCAAGCAAAAATCTGTATGGTAATTGAGTACTCTGTATACACAAGTTATCAAACCAATTGTCAATTTTTTTTTGCATTTCATTGAAAATGTCTATCAAAAAATGGAAACATTTTTTCCATCCTTACAAAAAAAGTAGTAGTGAAAAAGAAGTATTTACAAAACCACAGAAACGACATTTTCCATTCATATTTACTTATAATTTAGTGGACATTGATGACCTACCATCTCCTTTTTGACCTGGACATCGACCAAAAAGTCAGAAGAATATCAACAAATTTGGTTCATTAAATAATAATTATTAAAATATGAATAATTGGGCAAATTACTAAAAATAAAAACATGTTTCCAATTATGTCCTTTATTATATCTAAAACTGAGTACCTTGCTGCAAGAAGGGGGCAGCTCTATTTGTGTTAATTTTTGGGAAATAAAAAAAAACCGTTTTACAAAAATAAAACAATTAAAATGTGATATAAATGGGGCTCAGTGGTTGGAGTCTGGACTTATGAATCCAGGGATACTATATTTAATGTACATAAAAATAATTCTGATTCCTAGGGTAGGATTCACGACACTGACCATTCACTGTTGGGTTCTAAAAAAATAAAAAATTATAAACTGTGACTGGCTAATTTGATAGATACCAACATTAAATTTAAAAAAAGAACTTCATCTAAAAGCATACCACAATAAAAATCATATTTAGTTTCAAACCTTAAGAGCAAACTGAAACCTTAAAAATTTAGAATCCCTTCAGAACCTTTATTTTTATTCCCAATTTTTGTGAAATTTTCAAGAAGTACCAATAATAACAAAACTTAGGGTGGAGAAACCTTGATTTTTTTTGTACAGTATTTATTTAGAAATTTTTTAAAAAAGAATTAGAAAAAACATTTACGCGCCATCCTATATTAAATCTATGAAAATTGCTTTTTGTTTTAATAAATACTAGTTTTTATATGGGAAGATTTTCCACCTTTTTTTCTAAAACGTCTCTATGGAGTGCTGCCTTAGCGTTGCACAGATTTAAAGCTTCCTATATTCTCGAGAAATATCGTGAAGTATTCCCAGTGGCGCGCTTATAAATACAATAAAAAAATCCTTAAAACATTTTTACTTTCGCGAGAGGTCCGGTTTGCTCTTAAAACTGATTTGTTTTACAGATTCTAATTACTAAGGCAGCTGGGTTTAAGGTAAAGGTAATTGAGCATTCTGTATAAACAAGTCATCAAAACAGTTGTCAAAATTTTAAGTATTTCATTGAAAATGTCTTTCAATGAATGGGCACCTTTTTCCTTTCCTTACGAAAAGAATATTACCTTAATGAGTAGTGAAAGAGAAGCCTTTGCAAGACCACAAAAACGACATTTCCCATTCATATATACTTATAATTTAGTGGACATTAAAGACCTACCATCTCCTAGCCCTAACTGATTTGTCTTCGGGACCAAGATTTTAGAAAAGCTGTTCATTGTATGAGGATTTTTAAATATTTGAATATGAATATTTGGGAAAATAATATATCTTGTTTTGTAATAAATTAAAATATTTCCAAGTATGTCTTTTATTCTAAAACTAATTAAGATTATTTTAAGATTTAAATTAGAGTACAACTGAACATGTAGTGTGTTAAAGAAGCATAATAAAAAGAAGGAAAAATATTTTTTTGAGATGGGAAAGGAAACAAAATTTTGAAATAACTTTTTTGTTATAAACGGAGATGAAGCGACTAGTTTCGGCCACTAAAATTGTACAAGGGATATTGAGTTCCTCTCATATTATTAGATTCTTTTGTAATCTCAACAAACAGCCCATTTGCGTTGAGATTCACCAAACCTAAATAATCATTTAATTGTATTTGTATTGATTTTTAAATTTTTATATATGTATGTTTTTATTTTAAATGCGATGACTTTGTAATCATGATTTTTATATCATATACAATAAAGTATTTTTTGATTAATTGATTGATATATCATGTGAAAAATATGTACTTATTTTTCATTTCAGGTATCTTATTTATTATTTAAAATCAAAATGGAACGGCATCAAAGTAGTAATGGATTATGTGAATGCAAGGGATCCTCAACAAATATATGGTACAAAACATTCTTTTTTTTTAAATCAAAGCTAAGACAGGAGATAAAATTAAACTTGAAAGTTTTATTTATATAATTGTGTTCTAAAAGCATCTCTTTTTTTAAATTAAATCTAATACTTATACTTTCTTACTAGAATTCAGTTTTCTGTTTACGTTTTTATGGGAAGGCCATTAATACATTTTCAATTGATTTTCGGAGTTTTGTTGTGTTATTAAATGAGTTAAGTAGTTGAACTTTTTACTCTTAGATGCATATTATTAAAAATATTAAAATTTGTGATTAAATGTTTCAAATAGGCAACAAAAAATGATACCAAGTTATGCTATAAGGGCCTTAACTTGTTTAGAACACAACTATATAAGACATTTTCATCCATTTTGCTTAAAAAATAGGTAACTAAAATTATTAATTGATCTCATTAATAGGGGTACCAATAGGAGGAATAGGCTGTGGAACAATAGGAAGAGGTTTTAGAGGTGAATTTTGTAGATTTCAACTGAGACCAGGTATTTATGAATGGAACACTGTCGATGCAGACCAGTTTATTGTAACTATTAAGGATGAAAATCAGGCGACAATACTTCAAAGCCTGTTGTCCACTTTTCCGTAAGTATATGTATTTAAAAATAATGTATTCATTGCCGATTTAATTTTTCGATGGCTTAGATTTAAAAATATAAATATTTTTTAGTAAATCTAGTCTTTCGAGTTGGAAAAGTCGTATAGATGGTGATAAATGCCATTATACTGGCTTATATCCAAGGGCCTGGATAGAATATGACTTATCTGATTATGGGGTATATCTTACTTGTAGACAAATTAGTCCAGTAATTCCTAATGATTATGCTGTAAGTATTATTTGTTAGTTATAAGTTATTGAGAAATGATATGGAAATAAAATCAGTTTAAAATACATTAGAGGAATCTTGAAAGATGGAGTATGAAGAATACTTAATTACTAGGAAAATATATCAAAACGTGCACATTGGAAATCCTTTATAGAAAGACTATATTAAAAAAGAACAGGAGAACTCACTATGATTAGGAATTAGTTGCAGGAGTCATAACTGGAACAAAATAGATGTGTATAATGTCAATATTTACTAGTCTCATACATTTTAATGAACGTTCTTGCAACCGGCTGTTAATATATTTAAAATTCTAGTTTTTTAATTTTTTAGAACAGTTGTTTGCCGTGCGCCGTATTTGTATGGAATGTTAAAAATGTATGTAATGCTCAAAGAACTGTTACTATTGCATTTACTTTTAAAAATGGTACAGGGAATCCATCTGATAATAAAGGTAAATTCTGTTTTACGTTACTTTTGTTGAATCTTTCTTTACTACTTTCGTACCTAGTGGTACAGTGAACGAATTGTACCACTGCGTTTTTATGTTTAAAATGAATTATATTTGAAATAGTTGCATAAAAGAATGATTTGATGTGCGTTTTCAAAATATAATAGTAAAAATAATTATTATGACGTCTGTACACGATTTAGCTAAATTGAGAAATATCATATTTCTGATATTATTAGACAAAATTTGTTTTTTAGATGCATTTTATATTTTGATATCATATATTCAAAATATTACATAATCACGAGTTTTTTTTGAAATTACCAATTAAATGAACACATCTTACAAATTGTTATTTAAAAATTAACTTACAATTATAATAAAATCTTTAACAATAAACAATGGTAAACCACAGAAATGGTTTAGAAAAACCACTTGTATTATGGCTTCGCAATTATAATAATTTTATTCTCTTCTACGACCATAATTCAAGTATTAGTCATAATAATTCGGTACTATTACAAATCTCTAATTTTTGCTTTTAAATATGTACAGCAAAAAAAACAATAACATAATTTAGTTCTTTTCTTTTTTTTGCGTTTGTCAATATATTAGATTTTAAAAAATAGCACACATTCAATTATTGTTGGTCATGGCGATACCGATGCACTGATTCTATGTGTATGTTCCTAAAATCTTCAAATCTGTAAAAATCTATAAAAATATATAAACATCTAAAGAAATCTATAAAACTCTATAAAAATCTATAAAAACCTATAAAAATCTGTAAAAAACTATAAAAATCTATAAAAATTTATAAAAATCTATAAAAACCTATAAAGCTGTAAAAATCTGTAAAAAAACTGTAAAAATCTATAAAAAAAAAAAAACTATAAAAACCTATAAATAACTATAAAAACCTATAAAAATTTATAAAAATCTATAAAAATTTATAAAAATTTATAAAAATTTATAAAAATTTATAAAAATCTATAAAAATTTATAAAAATCTATAAAAAGCTATAAAAATCTATAAAAACCTATAAAAATTTATAAAAAGTATAAATCTGCAATTGACATCAGAGATACAGGAGATGTGATGTAACTACAAACAAAATACCGTGCTGTAGTGAATAAGATATATTCTAAGGGACACAGGATGGTATAATATCCGCTGTTGTCATGCCTATTTCATTATTCTAGTTTTGTGTAAAAAATTATTTACATATTTTAAAAAAGCTAAAATAATTCAAACTATTTTATTGTTTATATAAAATATAACTAAATTAGATGTAATAATTTTCAATAAACTCCAAAACCTAGTTAATGTTAAGTTGGATATTAAGTATTTTTTACTAGATGTGGCAACAATGCTTGGCCATTGTGTACGTTGTTTATTATAGGCGTACAACGAATTATACATTCATTGATAAAATTGTTTTGTACCGCCATCAAATCCTCAACTGGAGCGTACTGACTGTGGAATCGATGGTCGCAGCATGAATATTACATTTTATCTCATGTTGACTAAAATTTTATAAATTAATGAAATGTAACCTGTTAAAATTTAGAACTTACTATTTTTCCTTAGATTTTAACTAAAAACAGAACAAAATCATTGAAAAATCTGTATTACATTTAATATTTGCCTAATTAAAAAAAAAAAAAAAAAATACATACAGCGTTGACTAAGGTTTGTACTCACTGTCTTGTTAAAGCTGTATGTTCATTTTTGACCAAAATGTGTTCTTGTGATTTTAAATCTTCATAACAAATTAAATTCATACTTTTATATCAATAATAAGAGGAAAAAACATATATTTTTAGCTACCTGCAGTTCAAAATCGTTTGTTTATGAAAATTCTGAAGGAGTTATACTTTATAACAACCTCGATACAATTCAGTGCACTTATGCACTGTCAGCAAAGACTAAGTCCGAAATATCAGTCTCAAAATGTTTATATTTCGATCCAAAGTCCAATGGATCCGAAGTGTGGTCTCAGCTAGAACAAAATGGCGAATTCGACAAAATAAAAAAATCAGTTCACGGTTAGTAAGTACACGTAATATTTAATAATGTTTACTCATAAATGCTGAAGTAGTTTGTAAGATCACTTAAAATTTTATTAGTTATCGGGACTGGGGAACCTACAGACAAACTCGTAATCAAAAGACATTTAAAAAGCTTAATTTGTAGTTTGAATGACAGCAATATAAAATAAGCTCGATAAGAAATTATTTTAAAATACCGATTTCAATTAAACCGCAAATGCTGAAATCAATAATATTCAACAGCTGGAAGAAATAATCAAATAAAGTAAAAATCGCAGGTTAATCGGTACTTTGGTTCGAGAGTTATCGTGTCGTATTGAAGTTTTCAATATCACATCAAGTTATTTATTATCACAATGTTTATTCTTAAATATTATATAACCTACCATAAACTTAGATGTTTAAATTTTTGTTTTGTTTTTGTTTACTATTCACCACTTTATGCCTGAGTTGTGGTAAACAAAATACCTCGAGAACTAAGTAGATAAAATGTTAGACCCTTCTTTTTGAATCAACTAAATTCTTTTAAATATTTAATCAACCTTTCTACTTATTAGACTTTATGAATTATTTTAATTTATTTATTTTTGTATTTTATAGAAGATTTTTACTGCGAAATGGCTGTCGGAATTGCTTCAAAAGTTACCGTAAACGCTAGTCAATCAGAGGAAATAGAATTGAGTCTTGTGTGGCATATACCGACGATCAGTTTCCCAAGCAGTAAAAAAACTTACAATAGATACTATACAAAGCAATTTGGAACTGACAACGCAATTTTAAAAATTGTAGTTTACGCGTTTAATAATTACAAAATGTGGGAGCAAAGGATATATGAATGGCAAAGGAAGGTATTAGAAGACAGGTAAATAATAATAATAATAATAATATAAAATGACTAATGTTGATAAAATTTAATATATAACAAGATCTTTTTAGTAAGCTACCAGATTGGTATAAAGGAGCCTTATTTAATGAGACCTATTACATAAGTGATGGAGGAACCTTATGGTTGCTGTTAGATGATGAGGAATTGAAAACGATGTCAGAAAACGATCCAAGGTAAAGTGACATATATGTATTCACACTTCTTTAAAAAACCTGGCTTACTTCTCTAAAATGCAAGATCGAGTGCCAATGAACGATATAAAACATTGTTGATAGAGCTTTGAAAAAAACTATAGTTGCTTAGCAAATATATGTGTTAGATCCTCATTTTTAAAATTAAAAATTGTTTCCCGTAACGTTGAATTTGAATATATTTAACAGCACAAATCTTTGACTTAAACAAACCAATTTTGTAAGACAATGTAGCACATACAGTGTTGTTCCTAGGGATTTTGGAATTGTACAACTTCCAATGTCAAAAATTGTACATCTTTACGTTCAATTGTACAACCACTAATTTATCTTCTTCTTTTTCACTGCCAGCTTATGACTTACCACTTTCCAAAGCTTAAAATTCTTCTGTTTTTTAAAGGATACAAGTCCAACCAGTTTTATAATGATTTTGATTGGTCGCGAATGGCGCCAAATATAGACTTTAATTTTTTTATTAACTTTAATACATACGATATAACGAATTGTAGACTTTTTTAGCAGAAGAATGTGTTTTATATACCAGATTTTAAATAAATATTTAGCAACTTAAAATTGTACATTTCTGCCAACTACATAACTGTTTGTACAACATTTTGTATAATTTTACAACCAGGTACAACACTGGTCACATATGTTTATTAAGAAAACTTATTATTTTCCATAATTCTATCAGCTTTATCATACATATCATGTTTTTTGAAACACCTTGTATACGGACTCTTTTTTTTAGAATAGAATATGGTCGTTTCGCATATCTAGAAGGACAGGAATATATTATGTATAATTCATATGATGTTCATTTTTATGCATCGCACGCTTTACATAAGAACTGGCCGATGCTTCAAAAATGCCTACAATACGATTTAAAGGACTTTGTGTCACTGGAAATAAAAGAAAATGTTAAGGAACTTTATGAAGGTACAACTTGCGAGAGAAAGAAAGCAAATTCCGTACCTCACGATGCAGGAAGTCCAAGTAATTAATTTCATTTTGATATAACATTAGCAATTTATTTATTATTAACCAGTTTTATTTTATCAACATCTACGATATTTTAGAATACTGATAGACTTAAATAACACCCAATGAAATATAATTTTACTTTCTAACACAATAATATTCTAGGTGAAGGACCATTGACTCTTGTGAATGCCTATCCCATACATGACGTGAGCACTTGGAGAGACCTGAATTCGAAATTCGTCCTTCAAACGTTCAGAGATGCGTTCGCTTCTTCTCCGGAAAATCCTGATATCGATTATATAAAAAATATGTACGATGCCTGTTTTACCGTTGTACAAAAAACCCTTAAAAATGACGTTGATGAGGATGGTTTAATTAAAAACCAAGGTATTCCGGATCAAACCTACGATTCATGGGTCATGACTGGTGTAAGGTAAAGTCAAGATTAATATTCACTTATTTACTATTTGAAAATAAACGGTTAGAAGTATACAGAGTGATTCTTGAGTTGACAATTATTGTTTAACTGTGTATTCATTAAAATATGTTAGATCAACACTATATATGCCTGTTTAGTCTCCTCATGATTCAGTGTATATCCAAAGGCTGGAAGATGTTCGAAATTGGTTTCTGAGAACCTAGTTTTTATTTATTTATAATAATGACCTACTGTTTTTAAGATAATGTATTTTTGTTTGAACTTCTATGCCTTATGCGCCTTTGTAATAATTATAATTGTGATATAATAATAATAACCCATATTTTTGCCGAATATTTATATTTTCTCTTTGTAGTAGTCTCAAATATTAATTTTAGCACCTACTAGTGAAATATTGTATCCAGGAATGTATTATTAACATGAGAAGTAACCAAAATTTTTGGTAAATGCTTATGCTCTTAATACCTAAATTATTGAACCTATAAAAAAATTATTTATATTTAAAAAAATCAGAAGAATCCTTCTTTTTATGTGTTATTATTTTCAGTGCCTATTGCGGAGGTTTATGGTTATCCGCCTTGTATGGAATGGGTATTATGGCTGAAAAATTAGGAAAACTTGATGATAAAAAGTTATTTGAAAACATTTTAAATAAAGCAAAGGTAGCATTTGAAAAGAAGATGTGGAATGGTAGATATTACAATTTCGATTGTTCAACAGATCACTCGAAAGCTATAATGGCTGATCAGCTTTGCGGCCATTGGTATTTAATGTCCTCAGGGATCAAAACCTATGATGTAAATATTTATACATTAAATCCTAAATTTTTATTGAATTTACATATTAATATATAGTCGTATTAGTGGTGAAAAGAGCTAAGCCACACACTTATTAATTGAAGAAAATGGATAAATAAGTTTGTAACTCTTAGGTTAAAACAACTTTTGATTTAAATCTTAAGTTTTTATGTACTAAATATGATAAAATTTGGTACAAACAAAAACACGTTCATTCTAAGATTGATTTAAAAACGAAAGAAAAAGAAATGTATGTCGCTTAAAAATGCTTTACCACTGAAAAAGCTATATGTATTTTCACCTTGCTTCTTTCAGTTTGTGGGATTTTAAGGTTATAATTACAAAATCGCTTATCTCTCTTCACCACTGTATTTTTCAGAGATGTCTTATTTATGTGATATAATTGACTCATTTTGCATAAAAATGTGGCTTAGCTCTTTTCACCACCAATACGACTATATAGATTTATAAGCAAGATAATTAATCTTTTCTAAATTGTAGATTTTTCCAGAGGATCATGTGAAAACTGCCCTAAAGACAATTTACAAAAGCAATGTCGAATTATTTTGTTACGGTAATATGGGAGCTGTCAATGGGATTATTGAAGGACAAGTTGACACTGCAAGTGTACAAAGTGTAGAAGTATGGACAGGTGTAACTTATGCGTTGGCTGCAACTATGATTTATGAGGTAAAATTGACAATATTTTACACAATCTATTTAATAAGAACAAACACATTGTTGGTCTGTATTATATAGAATAGTATTAATTTTTTTAACGATTTTATTATAAAAAGTAACTTGTGCAACCAATACAAACGTCTTATATTAATTGTTCTCTTTTTTAAACAATCATCTTCATTTGTTAAGCGCACTCCCACACATTCCCCCAAACCCGTCACGTGGCATTCCCGATCACAACACTCCGCAAGCGGGGTTTCTAGATTGAGTTAAATGTCCGAACACATATCTTTCATTTGTTTGATTAGCGTGGTTTTACCAAGTTACGTTAAATCGCAACCCAAAGGATCTTTTGCAGTTCCCAGATGTATTTTTTCCTTTAAATCTCCCTCTTTTACGTCATTTCAGTGTTCTGAGCACAACTTTCAGTTATTCTATCCGTAAAATATTTTGAACAACGGTTGTCCAAAAACATTTCCTTCAATTTCTCTTTTTTGCTCAGTCTTTGTTGTGATTGGTTGATTCTTTTTATTTAATTTGCGAAGTAGAATCCTTTTTACTCTTGTCGCTTCATGTTTAACGCTAGTCCAAGCTTGAATCATATCTTTTGAAGTTAACGAACCAGTCTCTGCTATTTGTAACGTATGTTCATTAACATCCAGAGTATGGTTTGTTTCTTTTTTAGTTGTAAATTTAAATTAGAATGGCATTTTGCAGATCAAGTGAGATAGAAGAAATTAATAATTCATTTAGAATGACAGCGGACAACGGTTTAGTTGCTACTTTGCTTTGAAAAGTCAAAATACTGAAACGACCAAATAAGAAAATGGCAACTATACTACTGATAATTTTGAATACGAGTTAAATATTTTTAGGGCATGATTGAAGAAGGTTTTAAAACAGCTGGTGGCATGTATAATTCCATGATCAGATGCGGCTTGGCGTTTGATACTCCTGAAGCTTTATATGCTGAAAAACACATGAGAGCAGTGGCCTATATGAGACCTCTTAGTATTTGGTCCATGCAAGCGGCGTGGGAAAACTATATTAGCCGTTAGTAGTATTTTTTTAGAATTGTTGCTTTTATTTGTACTTTTCCAGAGCCAGTGTTATTAAAATTTAAAGTTTTTTACAATAAATGTTGTATCACAGACTAATTGTTTTAATTTTTTTTTTTTTTTCATTGGAGATATTGTTGTAGAATGTGGTGGTAGAGGTTTTAAATTTAAGTCACTTCGGAAACTTGCACTGGAAAAAAGGAGAAATAATTGGCGAAGATCTGTTTTATACTTTTCGCTCGGACTAGTTCGGTTTCCGAGAGGTTCGGAATGGGAGTAGCCAATATTTACAAATCAGAGAACTGAAAAAATGTCCTTTTGACATTTGACGAAAATTACCAGATAATTTACCTGAATTTGAACGTTCAAAACTTGATTCGAATTTTAGTAAAGAATTATATATTTTAAACTTGTATACAGGCTGAAGAACTATCAAATTAGCAAGATGCACAATGGGGAGGGGGACTAGTAAGGCCTAAGTACCGTGGGCGACCCACCCTCCACATTTTATGGATACGTACAGAGAGAGAGAGATGTCAATCTTATGTTATTATTCAAACGTTTACAAACGTAATAAAAAAATTAACATGATGAAAATCCCTCATTTATAAGATTATAATGATATAACTATAAAAAATAAAAATACTTAGTCAACAATTCAATACTTTTTAATAATCTAACAATTACAATAATTGAACAAAAATAACCACTTAAATTACTTCTGAAATATATTCAAAAAAGTAATAAACTAATAAATTGAAACTATATTACAATATGGAATCATAATTTTTATAAATAGATTCAAAAGGCGAAATATTTATTGTTTGTAGTATATATACAATTTTTATTTACAATAAATGAATACTGTTTTATACAAAATTGTAACTGAATTAAAGTTATTGTAAATATTGTCAGTGATTAAGCATCACACTACTTACAAAAATATCATAATTGTGAGACCTAGCATTCACATAATACCCAGTCATAAAAAAATGACATCGTTAAGAAGCACATTATATTTATTTAAAAAATATATTTCGCAAAAGGAACCGATTTTAAACTGTAAATGGAAAGGTTTAAAATAAAAATGTACGTATTGAGCGTAAAAATATTTAAATAAAATCACTAAAATACCATTTTGAGAATAATGAAATAACTCCTTACTTATTGCAACTATTGATTTTTTAAACTCAAGTTTAAGAAGAAGGGGTACTACATGGTTGCACTAACTATTGGAGTGAAAGGGCATTATTTTACCAACAGCCCCACCTCAAAAAACTTTTGAGTAAACAAAAAAAAATATTATTTTTTAATACGTTTATAGTTTAAAATGTTTGGAACCTATAAAATAAATGTCTCCTTTTTATTTATGCTGAATTTTAGATCTTCGATTCTATCATATCGACGTTCAGTTTGTAGTACACGTACGGGTAATATTCTGATTGGCCAAAACCTAAGCCTGGAATGTCTACGCTCTGAAATAAAAAAAACAAGAGCTTACAACTTTATAAATTATCAAAAATTATAATAAATCAAGGTAGTCAAGCATTTTATGAATGACTGACCCTAACTTCTCGGAAACCTTTCTAGGGTGTGAAATAAATGAGGAATTATAAATCAAAAGAAGTAGGGTATCCAAATAGTAGTACAATTAGTTAATGAAGCTGCAGCCACCATGTCAAAATCTTGTAGGAAAGGCTGGTCAAAAACAATCAAGAGTAGTTTAAAAGGAAGTCTGAAAGGATGAAAAAAGACGTAAACTGTTAAAACCAAGCATGTCCAGATCTAACATTAGTTTCAGCAAATTGGTCAAAACAAGACACATCCGAGCATACTTTGATAGCAATATAAAATATTGCTTGGCTATAAATAAAAAAGAATCTGCTCAGCATAATTTGTGTCAACCTTAACATGTAGAGCTTTTGTGACAAAATAACACCTGTTAGTCCTCTTTGGATAATTTGTATAGAATATATCTTGTTTATAAAAATGAAATGGGTAATCTTACATCAACATTGGGTCCGGAAAGAGCAGCGCTACTGTCTAGATGACCATAGAGTTGATTTAACACATCTCGTAAACGTTTCAGTGTCTTCTTATTTGGATGGATTAGGATAGCTTGAAAATTGACTGGTAGCCCATATCTGGAAGCAAATATGTAGGTAGGAATTTAGAATTATTGTATATGAACGATTATGAAAATAGTTTTTTACTCTTACCTTAATACGGACTCAACAAACACCCTTAACGCCTTTACATGTATCCAAGCACAAAAGCATTCGCTGAAGTTGACTTTCAACCACCTCACCAACGGTCCCTAAAAAAACAACGAAGCGTGAAAATTATATTTTAAAATTTTGTAAAAAAGTATCTTACAAATTGCTTTTTTTTATCAGTAACGAGTTTGGTAATTTCATTTTTGCCAGCTGCCAGTTCCTCCTCGTTATAAGTGAAATCTCTGACAATAAACTTCTTTTCTCTTGCGTGCAACTTAAATTCTTCAACGACCTTTTTGAAGAGCGAAACGGTGAATAGACCGTATTCGTGATCTTGAGTAATGAGCTCTGACGAGCGCGGTACAATCATATCTGTAATTTTTTCGTAAGTAGCGTTCCATTCATTGAATTGAGACCTAAAATTAATAAATAAACAATGAAATACATAATGGAAAACCCCAGTTTACATTTTCAGCTTTCCAAAAATAAATACTGAAATGAAGTATTTTAATTTATACTGAAAATGAGTTTAATGTACTTACTTTGGAACGATGACCAGCAAAGTCTGCAAATAATCCGAATCTAAAATAAAATGTTCTTTCTTGACTAGGTCTGCCAAGTTACGTGTTAGCAAACTTCCACTAAAATTAAAAAAATATATAATTTATTTGAAAATAATTTGTTATTTTTGCAAATAAATACATTTAACATTAAATAATTTAATTTAATAATAACATTAAATAATTTAATTTAATAATATAATAAGTAGAAAACTAGTATTGATCTTGTAAAAACGAGCAGAAGAGCCAACAAGTTACTATAATCAAATGCTGCGTCGGCTGAACACGCCATTCTATTTAGGATGCACGACTAAAGTTTGGCCGACCCAACTATAAGTACCACTTAAGCCGGGCTCAAACGACTCGTGTACTTGGCGAATAATCGTTACTTGCGTATACTTGCCATTTCGTGTGAGTGGGTTACTTGTACAATTATTTGTCACTTGTTGGTTTTCCATTTGTGGTCGGTAAAAATGGCCCGAGTCAAAGGGATCACGATTATTCGTACAAACTTGTCTATAGCCGAACTCAAACGACTCGTGTACTTGGCAAATACACAATTATTTGCGTACTTGTAAATTGTACACGTCGTGTGTGCGCCCTGCTTGACATCGCAATTCGCAAAGCTCGTATAGTTGCCAAGAACGCAAATAATTCTGTATTTGCCAAGTACATGAGTCGAGTCGTTTGAACCCGGCTTTAGATACAGCAAAGAGCAGCGTCTTTTGAGTTATCTACTTACGTTTGTTTCTTCTCCAAATTCTGAAGACTTCCCTTTAAATTATTGTACGCTGACGACTTGGTCTTGAGATCAGCGTCGATTTGGCCAACTTGTTTACTTATTATATCGGCAATATTTCGCAGGGATTGCTTGATCGGGTATTTGGCGATGTCCCATTGAAATCTGGTTAAATAACTTGGCAAATCGGCTATAAATACGGAAAAATACACAATAAATGTTTATAGTCGCAAGAGACACACACAACATTTTTATTTAATTAACATAGATATCCAATCTTGGGGAAAAATTCTTGCGTTCTAAACTTTCATCTTTTTCGAATTTTATTGATAAACACATAAAAGCTCCATAAACGGGTTTGGCTTTTTTTGTAATGAGAATGTTATGTGGAAAAATATATTAATAATTTCAAATAATTATAAAGTATAATAATCAATTCCATTAAATCAAATCAAATTTATGTGTATTCAAAAACAAGCGACCTCTACAAATTTTTAAACGAACTGACATAATGCTTTAGATCTATATTTTGCATCAGTCAGTGTGTCAACTATATTTATTTGTTTTCCTATAATGTATCCTTCCTATACTGTGCAATTTCAATCCCATTTCCCTTTTTCTACACCAAGTTTCCTTTGGCCCGTTTTTTTTTTACTTCTTTCTCTCAACTATAGCTCATCTAATCGATATTCCACTCTTCTCTGAACCTGTTACACTCTCCTAAGATTACTTATTTACATTTTCACCTAAAAAAAGCGTCCTCAACTGCACCTCTAATACATATGCATCATCATCTCATACACGTATGGCATTCGATACCCTACTGCTTTAACAAATGCCCTACTGGACTATTATTTTGTTTTAGCTGGTAACAATTTATCCCAACTACTATTTCTCCACTTATGTCATCTATAAGCCCTTACTTGTATTCTATCCACCTTGAAAAGGAGGATAACTCGTATAATAGGGTATAAGGAAAATAAAATGTCATAGAAAAAAGTAAAAAAAACTTCTATTCTTCGATCGTAAAATCAAATATAACTAAACTTGCCACATGTAGGAAAATAAGAAAGAAAATAAGAAATATCGCCACCATCTGAAACTGCCTTTGAATATTATTAAATTATTTTGTTTTATATCTACTAATTTTCAGATCCTTTATTCCCTACTTTTCCATCCACTACTGATATTAAGAAAAAAACATCATCTGTTTACACTACACAAGTACTTATATATTGTCAACTATTGAACACTTTCCAATACGTTTTGTTAAAGTTCAAGAGAACTACAAAGAGTTAGCATTAGCGCGAGCAGGAAACGCATCATAGTAACGTTGCCGTGTGCGTTGTGAAAAGTGAATAGACACACTGCGAAATATATCCCCGAACGTTCGGCTAATCATATCCATTTCCTGCTAGCGCTAATAATAACTCTTTGTAGTTTACTTTCTCTTTGAAGTTAATGCAGTATAAATACCATTTGTAATCGAAATTAACCGAATTTGTTACATGCAACATGCTCAAGTAAAAAAAAAACCATAAAATTAAAAATAAAATCTATTTTCTTCAAATACCTTTTAACTCCTCAACTTTCACAAAAAGCTATTGTTATTTAAAACACAATTCAAATAAAATGCACATGTGTTAGAATGGTTTGTTAGTGTATTAAATTTAAGCAGGTATATTTGATTTGGATAATAATAATTTAATAAGAATATAGTGGATACACCCCCAGTTTGAAAAAAAAAATTATATGGTAACAATTTGTATTATTTTTTATTTTGTTTGATGAGGTGGTTTGTTATTCACGTAGAATGTGTCCTTTGACCCCTTATGCTTCCTTTTTAGAGACTTCCTACTTCTTTACATCGAATCCTAAATCATTATATGAATTGCAGGATTCTTTCGAATTAGATGAGCTCTTATCAGAACTTTCCTCACTATTATGTCATAAATATAGGATGGGTTATCTTAACAAATCCCCATGGCCTGTATTTGTGTAGGTTCTCAGTGTGCCAATACCTTTGCTAAGTTGTTGGTGGTTTAGTTTTAATTAATATTTTGCTGTTTTCCACGACTTTTGTATAAAACTCTTAATTTTACATTTACTATGTTTTAGGTTATTTCTATTGCTTCAAAATTAGTTTTTTTTTTTAACAGAAATAACCTGAAACTTCTGCAGTTTTTTGCTTAGTTTCTATTAAATGGAAAGAAAACTCTTCAGACATTTACCACAAAATTTTATTATTTACAAGCGGCGACTAGTTTCGGCCTCTATAGGCTACTAACAGGCTAAAAATGTTTTTAAAACGTACATGTAAGTCATGAAACCATTATTCCAAAAATATTAACATTGCAGAAATTGTGTAATGCAATGTGATAATTGAAAAACAAAATATTGTCATGAGATTGCTTAAGCTGTATGTGTAGAGCGCTATCTTGAAGTCAGCTCTGCATTAAAAAAGCAATAAAGCAGATCCCATCGAGAAGCCAAAGATGTATTAAAAGAACGGCTTCGAGTAAAATGAGTAAAACGAGGCACTTTTCAAACGCAACAATGTTAACTGTATATTATTTATTTGGCTATTTAATCAAAACAATTATTTTATTATCATTTTTAAATCAAATTATATTTATGTACCTAGGGTTCCCATGTAGTTAAGAGCCTGTAACCGAGAAGACTTAATTAATATAGCTAGTGAATAATTACACAGAAACTACCAGTTGTGTGAAAAACATTTCCAGCCCGGCAGCCCAGTAGTTTTTCAGTTGGATCAACTCTGAAACGTTTATTTGAAAATGTACTTCTGATAATATTTTGGCACACACCCACAACAAATGAAAACATTGATCGTTCTGAATGAATCTGTGCCCTCAAAATCTACTACTAAATCCCACGACGATTTTCTCAGTACACCTAGGTATTAAAAATAATATAAAAGTGTTGTTTATGTATTTTTTAAGGTCCTAACAAAAGAATGACTAACTTTGAAGATTAAAGAAATATTGTTTCTATTTTGATAATGCATGTGCTAGTTCCAAAAATATCCTTCGGTTGGGCCAAAATTTTTAAACCAACCATTTGTAGATAAAGTTAAATCTCAAGCAGAATTTAAAAAAAGTCTCTAGCTAGAAGACATTCCAATGAATACAAGCAGTTTGCGCTTGCCTTGTATTTTTTAGGATCTAGGGCATATTCCTTTGTCTAAAATTTTGTGCCTTTTGTATTTTTCATATTGAGATTTTTATTAATTTTGTAATTTGGATTAAACTTGATAGTCAGTATGGGTACGTGTTTTATTTGTAACAACATTTTTCCTACAGTACTTTTCTTCAAATCTCAATTTAATTCAAAGTTCTAATAATTATGCATCTAAAAATGCAAATTTATGTGTACAACAAATTCATATGATTTATAAACAAATCCTAAATACAGTCTGGATTTATGACATACAGCTATACTATAAGGACAATTTCAGAAATGTTACAATTTTTGACATAAAGAATATACCTAAAAAAAAAAAAAAAAAAAAAAGTGTGATCTGATGATGGCCCATAGAGACCGAAATTAGTCGCCGCTTGTAAAATTCTGTGGTAAATGAATTCTTTTCACATTAATAAAAATGAATGATTTGCTCTACTTATTCTATTAAATGTTTAACATAAATATCAATTTAATTCGTTTGATTTATGGAATTTAGTATAACAATTCAGTATAAATAGATAATTAAATTTTTCCTCATAACATCCAACATTGTACGCTACAAAGACGCATTCCATAGCAAAATTTTTCCACCAATGAAATATGCAAAAAGCCACCAACATGTTAAAATAATAAGTATTTGAAAAAAAAAAACGTAAGCAAAAAAAGAGTGATTTGTGTATGTGTGTACGAAGATAAAACACTACAATCAATCGATCGAATTGAAAATATATAACGCAGCTGCCTTAAAAACAAAAATAAATAAAACGGTGTCTAGATCCAAAACATCCAATTATTTCATGTTTATTTCACCCTTTAATATTACAATCTATCATAGAGTTACATTCAAAAATAGTGTTTTTTGAAGACCTCTCAATTTTTTATAAATGGTGCATGTATTGAAAGATGGTTGACTGTATTTGTGAAGAATGACGCAATCAGTATGCATTTTATACTGTAACCATATGTTAATATTCAAGGATTGGATACTGATGGGATCAAAAAAAGATTTGTATGTCAACATCTCCTATTTATAAAGATTTTTTTCTGAAAACTGAGGTTGGTATTTTGACCGAAAAAGTGGCTAGTATAGGATAACCAAAGACTTTAGATATAAGGTGTTTGTAGAAGATTAATTGCCTCTTTAGGGATGGCATGATGCACAATCTGTTCTAGAAATACTTTTGATTACTCATGGCACTACCTAGTTAATTATTTTCATACTTTTACTAGATGTTATCTCAAACGGGCTTATTTACTCAGCAGTCAAGATTCAGCATGGGAGATTTTTAAGTTTTTCCTTGGAACAGTGTTCTCTAGTTTCAAAATATATTTAAATATCAGTAGTAGGTGAGCCACTTCAGTACATATTTTCAATTTTTGCCATATCTACAAATTTTCCTGGATCTGGGGAAAAATGTGCTGAAGTGGCTCACTTACTACTAACACCTATTAAGAAAAATCTCCAGTGCATAATTCTAATAGTCAGTGACTGCTGTGGGAATAACCCATGGTGTTTGAATGTCAAACAAAACTGAGTGTAAAGCACTTTCTAGAAATATAAAAATCAGGACTGCAAATTGCTCGTTTTTTTTAACACCAAAATGAAGAAATACAATTTCATTTGCTGTATTCACATTTCGATGCTTAAAATTGTTTTATTTAACATAACATTCAGTTGCAGAAATGTTTATTAACATTTACTAACCTGATAAAATTTGAGATATGTAGATTATGAATAATTTAAAGTTTATTACATTCAGACATAACACATTCTCAAGAGCTGTCAAAGTTTATCAAATTTTAATGAAAGTTCTTGCAACTGACTCTTCTTAAATTTAATGTCCAAAGATATTTTGAAAAGGTACTACAGCTATTTTCATACTGAACGGTACATAACTGATTATTATTAAACCCCTTCAGGTATAAATCAATATTTATGAATAGAAAACAGCTAATTACCTAGTTTATTGATTCTTTCATTCATTA